TTTTTTGCCCCATCGAACTCCCTTATCGTGGAATTCTATCGTAATGTTAATTACAAAAGTATTTGGAAATTTGTGCGTTCGCGTCCAACGAAGCTGGGAATTTCGATGCTCAGCAAACAATGTTATCCTTCGGTACAGTGACTACGAAAAATATTTTCACAGTCATTGCGCGTTTACCGTGGCATTTGCGTGTCAATTAATTAATTAAGTTCATGTAAAGTTCATTTTTCTTTGCGTTTCCAAGAACATTCAACGGTACGAAAATTCAATAAAAAAAAAAAAAAATGAGAAGACGCACGTCATTCGTATCGCTACGAAATTTTCATCGTTAAATCTTTCGTTGGAAGAAAGAGCAAAAGTACTTTACGCGTGCAAAGTACTTTTCGTAATCGCTGTACATATGTGTATTCCTGCTAATTCCCCCGGCATCGATCATTTTCGAATATTCACGTGAAATCGTTCTTACACGTCTCCCGTAAACAGCACAAAGGACGTTTTAACGCAAATACGTATCGTCGGTTCGCACACAGCGCCCGATAGCTTCGATGGAGGCATCAAATATTTATTTAGCGGCATGGCCTGACCGGTATCCTTTACTCTACAAATTTAGACAGTCCACTCGAACAGATTATTGCGAGAGCTCGCGCGAAAGACGATCTCAATTACCGAGAATTTAGCGTTCTTTGATCATTGTCGTCGCATAGGTGACGTTTGCCATTGCGAAATAATACAACGAGGAAAAAAAAAAATAAAAAATAAAAGAAAAATGAGAGTTCTCCGATAAAACCTCATTTCACCACGTTGATCGCGCAGTTCTCGTTTGCACTAGGATGACGCGAGGGGTTCGGGCTACTTCGGTGGGTTTGTTTTAAAATATCCTCCAGGCTTAGGGAAGACAGGGGGATGAACGCAGAGGGGATGAACTAAGCAATTAAGCATCGCCATCAGCCGTTGTGTCTCGTTGTTTGTCTTCTGGCTACCCATCAACTGCCCTCTGTCTTCTTCTTGTCTCTGCCTCGGCGAATTATTCGCGTTTGAGATTTATTCAGCAGCGTCAAGATGCAGTTTTTTCAACCCCCCTCCCATCGACTTCCTCCTCGACTCCGAGGAGGAGTTCCCCATCTTCCAGAGTTGTTGCAAAACAGCAGAGTAAATTATGAGAAGCTACAACGAGAGCAAATTTACGGCCGTTCGTTGAAATGCTTGCAGCATCAACACCAGTTCGCGGAACTGGGCAGGAAGAAGCTGGAGCAGGCGATACAGCAACTGCAAGAACAGTTGCAACTCAATGTCATTCAGCAGACGCATCTTCTGCAAACGGCGGACAAGAAGAAGGCGTCCGCCCCGCTTCAGCAGTTGGCGCTCCAACAGCAACGCCTGATACAACAGCTGCAGATCACGCAGAGCCAATACCTTCTCCAACAGGGTCTGGGTCTTCAGGGTCACAATCCTTCTTCAGGTAAGGAGGAAATTATTTTTCGTTGGCTAAAAGTTTTCAGAAGGTTGCAGCGTTAAAGAATGACAAAAAAAAAAAAGTGTACAAGACATTTCTGTACAGAATTTCTGTCTTTCAAGTCAATTCTTTAAATTTCAAGAAAATACGAGGAACCATTTTAACTTCAAGACTCTGCTTTTCTTCCTTGTTGAAAACGGGAGAGCAATTTGAAAATCAAAGTCGAATTAAGAAGAAGTTTAATTGTAATTTTAGTTGAACAATCGTTTCGGTTGTTACATTTTCTCGAGTTGTTAAAAATCTTCTTGCTCGCTGAAACGAGTGTAATATCCAAGAATTGCCAGGTTGCTCCTTTCAAAAATAATTTACATTTCAAACACTTAGGAACGATCATTGCCCGCACCCATATTTTATTAGATACGCGTAATTTCCGAGCGTGAGTTGACGTTGGAGGTGGACCCCTGATTTAAACAACAATCCATCGGGCCAACCCCGAGTGCTCTCCCGTTTCCCACAAGTAATCCCCACAAGCCTCCCCCCTCGTCCTCCTCCTCCTCACTTTCTCATTTTCCACTTCACCCTGAGCAAAACTTTCCGCGCAGAAGTGTTTCGGTTGCGTCGGATCTCGTTCCGGCGATGTTTTTCTTTCTGACGCGCGTGCAGGGAACGCGAGGAGGAAGGGTGGAATAATAGGGCCAGGAAAGCGACAGAACCTCGTTCACGTATGCTCCTCATGCTCCTCGAATCGAAAATTCACGCGTGAAATAAACTTGGCTCGAGTATTTGACGAAGAACTGGAAAGACGGAAGACGGAAAGTGGCGTGTCCGTTGAACATGTTATTTACGTTAGTTTCTTTCACTGTATTATTTAGATTTCACTGTATCGTTGCACTTTTGAATGTTTTAGGTATTTTGGCTTGTCCTACATTTATACTTGTACTTTCAGTTTTCGGTTTTGGTTCTCAATCTATCTTTCGTGGAGTAACAATCAATTTAGTCTAATTTAATTTTCATCGTGTCTAAAGTGAAAAAAAAAAAGACCACACAAATGTTTCAGGCTTCTGAGCAGTCAAAGATTCATTAATATAAAACATACGAACTTTTCGATAGGTCTCCAACCTGGCGAAGGTCTACCAATATGGAAATCGGAAACGTCGGATGGTCCGGAATCCCACCAGAACTCGAACGTTCCAAAACCTGTGGCCGGACTCAATGGTAAACAGAAAATTCTCCTCCCGCCAACGATCGAGAATCGAGTTTCCCCCTATGCGTTCCCAATATTGTTCTCAATATTTCTTTTTCCTCGACTCCGTCTTTGACCACCTTCTTCACTCCTCATTCTTTTTGTTCTTTCTTTTGCTTTTACTTGGAAAATGCGACGTTCGTTTCCGGACTATCGCAGGACTTCTCAATTCGACAGTGTCGAGTCGGCGGTCGGAGATGAATGGAACCACTCCACTGGACGAGAAACCGCTGGACGTTTCCTCCAACGACAAGGTTCATCCCCTGTACGGTCATGGGGTCTGCAAGTGGCCGGGCTGTGAAGTTATTTGTGAAGACTATCAAGCATTCCTTAAGTGAGTCCTGTCAATTTTCTCAAACTCTCATCATTTCGACGAATTTAGAACAAACAACTAGAAAAATACTCTCAACTTTGTATCAATAATCATAGACCACTGCTATGATCTAAAGATTAGAATACTCAAAATCTTGATTTACATCACTGTAGCTTTCAAGATTCATTCGCATTATAGTGCTATACTGTCAAAGGATACAGACAGGGAGCTAATAATCATAGTAGTGTAAATCGGACTATGCTAGAAATTTTTTAAAAATTTAATTGCTCAAATATTAAACGAACGATACTTCTAAAAATTGGAGTACTCAAAATCTTGATTTACCCCACTGTAGCTTTCAAGGTTCGCATTATGATGCTATACTGACAAAGAATACCTACAGACAGGGAGTTAGTAATCATAGTGGTGTAAATCGGACTATGCTAGGAACTTTTTAGAAATTTAATTGCTCAAGCACTAAACGAACGATACCTCTAAAAATTGAAGTACTCGAAATCTTGATTTACACCACTGTGATTTTCATGATTCACTCGCTGTATATCGTCAAAGGATCAGTCTTATCTCTCCGGAACGAAAAAACTAGTCAACGACTATCAACTATCAGGAGCATTTTTTAAATCCAAACGACATTAACAACGTCGAATCTCCAGTGTATAATCGGAAAGTAGGTAAACCCCCAGTGGCGGTACGGGGCAAGTGAGACGGGAGAGGAACCAGCGAGGAATAAAGTCGGCAATTTCGCCCGGTGGAATGAGTTAGGTGAAGGCGCTGGCTCGCGACGGGGAGAGTCGGGCAGAGGAAGTGTAGAAAAATCGCTCGAGTCAGCGTATCTCATTGACATCCGGCACCTTCACCATCGGTTTCAAAGCAGAGGCAGCATCCGCCTCCCTCGGTCGACGGCAATCCCTAGTAATCACGCGGCTCGTCGCCGCAAACTCCCTCAAACAAGCCGTTACTTAAAAAAGGATGAAGAAAAAAAGGAAAACGCTAATTACCTTTGTCTCATTAATATTCACGACATTCGACCGCATCGTTATGCCTCTCGGTCTAATCCCCTTCCTCCTGTCCCCTGTACCACCACCACCACCCCCTCCTCCTCCTTTGGACCTTCCCGTATTCTTGGTCTTAACCAACCCCTCTCTCTCTCTCTCCCCTCTTTGCTTTCTCCACCCTCTTTTACCCTTCGCGATACACCGACCGGCGACGAAGAAGGATTACGGATATTCTTAAATACGGAATCTCGTTGGCAATCCCCCTTCTCTTTTTCTCTGTCTTTCTCTCTCTTTCTGCTGGAACTCAGACCATCGTGGAACTGGATTCTTTTGGTGTCCCGTGGGGTAAGATTCGCCACGAACGGAGACAAACGTTTCTTTGTGCAGCTTTGATTTCCCCGTAAACGACCCGACATTGTTCGTGACATAATTTTATTAGTCTTTGCTGAGGGATTCGCAGCGGAGAAAGAGAGAGAGAGAGAGAGAGAGAGAGAGATTGTATTCGAATAATCTTTCAGTAGAATTTTTTTTTTAGATCAGAATTTTAACTACTTACACGTTAGATGATAAAATTCGCGTTGAGAGGAGATTGCTCGAATTCTTTGACGATAATTAAAGATGCAAAGTTTTCATTATCGTGTATTGTCATAAAAGAATCAGGCATGAAGTAAACGAAGTATGTCCATACCAAATTTTCACCATTTGCGTGTTAATTTTAATCGCCCACCTCAAGCAAAGTGACTAACGTTCCTGACAAATTCCCGCAGGCACTTGAACACGGAGCACACGTTGGACGACCGATCGACGGCGCAGGCCAGGGTTCAAATGCAAGTGGTCTCGCAGCTGGAGATTCAGTTGCAGAAGGAACGGGACCGGTTGACCGCCATGATGCACCATCTGCACGTGGCGAAACAAATGGCATCCCCGGAACCACCAAAGTCCTCTGAGTCATCGGTAAGAGTTCACCAAAAACACGATTGTCGTAAAAAGCCAGTGTCCGAGCACAACGCTCGAATAATCCGGATGGAAGAATTTCCCCGGTAAAGTGGCCGTTCGAAACTGCACGATCGAAGGTTGCACAGACGGAAGAACAATATGTCAACGTAAATTGTACGAACGGTGGCGGTCATATACGCGCGATATGGACAGCAATAATCGTAAGGTGGCTGGTTATGCGATCCCGTACGTGAAAGCGAACGTTCGTACGGGTCCAGAATCCGGAAAAAACGTTCCCTAACGATCGTGTCGCGATGGTAAACTCTTTCTGGCGGGATCGGGGTGAGGGGGACGTTCGGCGGTCGTAAAGCCAGATTTTCACGGCGCTTGGGGAATTTTACGAGCTGCCGCCGCGGCTAACAACAACGCCAGTTTCAGTTTTAACGCGCCACCGAGTAGACTCGCTAATTTATACATAAAGTTTGCATTAATAATTCATCGGGTCCTCGTTGATTTTATATCGCCTTAATTAAAACCTCTAACAAGTCCGACAGTCGGAGAATACCAATATCGCATTAGCCCTCTCTCGGCCCGCGCGGCTGCGTGGCTCGTCCTCTCTGCTCGGCCGACTTAATTATTTTAACGCGAAAGGGAGGAGCCACCCCGCCTCCCTCCTCCGCGGCCAGCTGGGATCATCTCTCCCGATATCGAGATCGTCCCTGCTGGAATATTTCGTATCAACATGTATCCGAAGCGTGATTCGTTCTCCGTGCTCGCGAAGAGAGAAACTTGTCGATCGTGTCGTAACATTTTACAAACGAGTGAAAAGCAATTGATTATGTTGGGCCCAGTTCTTCCTGAAGCTCGTTTCAACTGTCTTAAAGAGATTTATGAAGACCGTGGAAAAGAATCTTGTAATGTCACGCTTGAAAGAACAATCAAGCGTTATATTTTACGTGTCGTTGTTTCGTAAAGAACTAATTGCGCGATTAATGATTAATGAATCACTGTCGGTTCAGCGGATAATGAAATATACATGAATCCCGGATTAAAACATTGAATAATTCTGCTATAATAAGATTTATCAATCTTCAGAGAATCGATATTTCTTCGTGATTTTTCATTTATTACGTTGAATGTTTTAAGCTTGAAAGTTGGTAATAAACCCGCTCAGAAATTTTAGGACGAATATATACGCATTTGCGAAGTTGGAGATATTAAATAATACTATATACAATTATGTCATAAGATACACACTAAAATAATTCTGAAACACTAGACCAGACATTAAAAAATAAAAAGTTAATAATAAACCTAATATTTTTGAGCGCGCGGTGTAAAAAAAAAAAAAAAAATTATGGTAAATGCTTTCTCCAAGTGTAGACACCATCGTTTCCCTTTCAGACGGGCTCGAGTATACCAAAGTTAAATCTGTCAACCGCGCTGATGAACCAACCACCACCGAACTTTGGCGTCTCGCAAGTGTCGCCGGTGTCGATGTCCGCGTTGGTGTCGGCGGTCAGGTCGCCAGCAGGTGGACAACTGCCACCTTCCGCCGGCGGAGCACCGATGCCGCCTATACCTAACATGTCGAACATGTCCGGAATGCCTCCGTTGCCGAACATGCCGGGCAGCATGTCCACGATGCCGACCATGCCGAGCATGGCAGGACCCATCAGACGACGTATCAGTGATAAATCCGCGCTTTCTTTGGCAGGAGGTAAGGTTTTCTCGTTTGTCTCTTCTTCGATTAGCTTATTATACGATTGTACTCCATCTTTTTACGTGTTTTTTTACAATTGGTTAATTGAATAATCGTCACGGATATTGGCCAGGAATATCGAGAAGTCGCGAATTTGACATTGTTGAACTTGTGTGCGTTTTTTCCGTTTTACCTGCGCCTTCAGGGAAATGATGAAAGCCTAAAGTGCCGGTCGGACGAGTATTGAAAAATAATATCGGTAGCTGTTAACGAGATCCGTTTTCTGTTTTTCTTTTCTTTTCTTTTTAAACCAAATATAATATACGTAAGCTTTTGTGTATGAGATATGCGAGGAAAGAGAGGATTAAAATATCGTCTCGAGAAAGGTGAAACGAAAGACATGTGTGAATTCAGAAATTGAATACTATTCGTAGGACTGTATGACGAGGGCACTGTAAGGCGCAGAGTAGCCGTCGATAGATCTGGAATAGATATTAACGAAGGTAACGATTCAACAAAAAATTCTGTCGGGCAAACGTGCGACGCCGCGAAATGCTGTTTGTCTTGCTCGTCGATTTATTCGCGGCCTCGGTGATAAAATGAGAATCAACCAGACGTTCACAAATCGCCACGCGTTCGAGTCAATACATAATTTCACTGGGAACGATAGTGAATTTATGCTCTGTTAATGAAAAGCATTTCCCGGCTGGTCCTCGTCAAATACGCCCCGACAAAAAGAAAATCCTGTAGCAAATGCTCTTTACGGTCCTCTCTTGATCTCGTGCCTTTTCTCCTATCGTAAAACTCTACCACACGCACAGATTTATTCACGGTAGCAACAATGTCACGTGAGCTACAGTGTTCGACACCTTGTTGGCGACGTAGGACGAATCTAATAGGTGCAATACAGAGTGCGAAAGGTGTAAAACGATATGTAATACCAAGAGGTAAATTAAGAAGTATGTAAAACGAACGTAGAACAAAAGAAACAAGAAAGAGAAAGAAAAAGAAAGAGAAAATATATATATATGTATTTTTTTCTTTTTTTTTCTTTTTTTTTTTTTTTTAATGAACACGAAAGTTTTAATGAATTTTCTAAAACGTACGCCAGTTCGAACCTCTTTCTTACCGATGCTTCTGTTGTTTCCTTATTTCTTGTGCTGCCCGCCCTCCCCACCGTGTAGGGCTGCCCTACATGCTGGAGCGTGCTGGCCTTGACGTCCAACAAGGTACTGTCAACCTTCTTTCCACGCTCCTTTGGTGGCTTTAAGGATTTTCTTAAAGGGTGCACCCTTTTTGCATGCGGGAAGAGAACTCTCACCTCTTTCAACACCCTTATTCTCATTCTACCCCACTCCTCATCCCCGACCCTCCCTCTCTTCTGTCCTGTAGAATAGAGATTCAGATACTTCGATCGTTATCCCCGGTTTTCTACGAAACGAGAGACGAACGAGGCTCGACGTGAAGTATCCGTTTCTATTTGCCACGAAACGTCCAACCGCTTCTTGCTTATTACTCTTTACATCTAGTTTTAAGAATGTCGTAATCACATAGTTTTCGTTGGGTATTGTTGTTTTACGAGCATGCCATCGAGACGCAAGCGTGCGATTCCCCTTTACGTTCGCCATTCCGCGAACGTCCGCGAGCAATTTGTCGTTGCAATCCAGCTTTCGTAGCGCTGAATTCATCTCGTTGGAAATGATCGAAACGAGCTGGAATTAATTTTCGATGGAAAGCTGAGCGTTGTTTCAAGTGGCTTTTTCCAAACGAAATTTGCTAATCAGCTTTCTCGGTGATCATCTCTTTTAAGCGGGCGCTCGAGAGTTTAATACACCGGTTGGTTGGTTGTGCGATTTCGGTAATCATCCGAGACACGCGAAAAGAGATGGTGCCGATGAACTTTTCACCCCTCGACCGCGTTAGACAAGCGCCGCGCGCTTAAATCTTTTTTTTTTCTTCTTCTTCTTCTTCTTCTTCTTCTCACTTCGTTCATTTCTCTTTGAAAAACGAAACAAGCAAAGCATCTTGTGGTATTTCAGAAATTCAACGAAATAGGGAATTTTACAAGAACGCCGACGTCAGACCGCCGTTCACGTATGCATCGTTAATTCGACAGGTGAGTGAACCATTTCGATACGCGTCAAACGTAATTCCTTTAGTATTCTGAATAATTCGGTGATCGAACGAACTGCAACTCCCCGCGAACAGAGAGCCTCCCTTTTTTAGATTTAATTTTTCGAAGGAACGCCCGAAACCGGTGAGGATTATTCTACCGCCTCTCCCATTCCCGTGCAAACGACTTTCTCGAGTTCTTTTCATATTCTTCTTTGTTTTTCGCAGTCGATCATCGAGTCGCCGGAGAAACAATTGACGCTGAACGAAATCTACAACTGGTTCCAGAACACATTCTGCTACTTCCGGCGCAACGCAGCTACGTGGAAGGTATATCTTTTGACTATAGTAAACAAAAAAAAAAAAAGAAAGAAAGAAAGAAAGAAAAAGTAAAGACCATTAAGCAGGACGCAGAGAATTTAGGAGAAAGAAATCGAAGGTACGACAGTCTTGGAATTCGAAGTCCGATTCATTCTCGATACGTGATTCACCATTATTCGTGTATCGAACGATTTCGATCCCGTTTGTGCAAGAAAAGTCCATTCAAAAATAATCGCAATGAGAAATTGTAAAGATCGCGCGGGAAAATTGTAAAGATTCATCGCGTGAATAATTGATCAGAAAATGTGAAAATACCGGGGAGAATTCGCGCGGTTGGAGCGAGTCCCCCCTAACGATTTCGGAAAAAAGGAAAAATCCGCCGCGCCACCATGCATCCAGGAAGTCTAAAATAATTTTCTCCTCCTAAATGGATGAACTCAGCGTGGCACGGGTTGTGCAACGGGTTTGATTGCAAGTCACAAAAGACGAAATGACTGGTCGTGCAATTTGCATTTACGAGCAGATTAAGCTGAATGCGTTCTAACTAGAAAGGATGAGCTTTGAAGAATCTCAGATAATCTTACGTTATTAATTTGAATTAACAGGCTAAGTGACGTGCCGAGCAGACGAGCTGGTAACGATAATTATGTTGCTTTCCCGAATTTAATGGGAAGGCTCGGTAACATGTGAAATATTACAGTCGTATTGCGATTCATTTGTCATCTATCGCGTGATGGTTTCCGTGATTCTTCTTCTTCTTCTTCTTCCGTAGTGGTCTTTTCTTAGATTGAAATCCTCTCGGAAGGACCGCAGGCTTCAACAACGCGATCGAACCTTTCTCGACAATTTGATTTTCGATCAGAGATCATGCAGCGATAAATCACAATTAAATCGTAATATGACCGCGTAGGATACGCTTGTTGGCAAGAGTGCGCGCGCGCGTGTGTTTTCTGCGTGTGTGCGTGTGAGCGTGAAAGTAATCGACGTTTGCCATGACGCTTCGCCTCGCATGGTTATGTGTATCTGAAAATTTCTCAAAAAGCAACCAACAGGTTCAAAGCATCGACCGTGGTCGAGGATCCAGAGAAGGAGCGAGCCGAACTCAACGAGTCAGATGGATCCACGATTCTCACGTCGACGGAGGTTGTAACCTTCGGACGCGGCCTTTTCGTACAGTTTCTTTCTGAATTTCTTTCACCTATATTTTTTTTCCCCCCCACTCATTTTTTCTCTCTCTTTCTCTCTCTCACACACACTCTGTTGATTCTCCTCTCTTTATTATTTATTTTTTTTTTCACTTCTTCCTTTTGGAATTTTGTACGGCCCTGCGGCATGTATGATTGTTGTCGTTGCCCCTAGACTTAGATGACTAGCTGTGCATTAACGATAAAGGAATGCCACATTATACCGTGTATCTTTCGATTAATCGTTTTGGTTCGTTATATCCTTTTACGGCCTTGTCATTGCGCGACCATCGCCGGGCTATCCTTTTATTTGCTGCTCACACACGACGTTTACTAATTCACTCTTCAGTCAATTTCACGGTTCTTCCTGTTCCGTTCGCGACGTTCGAGTCTAGAGACAGGCTGCCACTTTCAATTTTCAATTTTCACTCTTCGTCGTTCTCTTTTTTTTTTTTTTTTTTTTTTCCTTTCATTTTCTGGTAGTGTATTGTCGTTAAAGTGATAGCCTGAGAGATACGTAGACATATAATACGTTTCTTCGCAAGAGACACGATGCAACTTCGTCGAAAAGATCGAAACAGAGCCAACAAAGAGATCACTTTTCCGAGACAGACAGGAAAATCTCATCCATCCTCGTCTCATCTCAGCGTGTATCGGTTGTATCGCCATCATCATCGTCGTCATCGTCGCCGATCGTCGCTTTCTTCATCGTCTTCGTTGTCGTCGTCGTCGTCGTCGTTGTTATTCGACGCCGCGGGGATGGCGGAATACCAGCAGTGTATTAAACAAAAAAAAAAAAAAAAAAAAAGCAAACGAAAGAAAAAGAAAGAAAGAAACCACAAAAAGATACAGAAAAAGTACACGCCATCGAATCGTGTTCCCCGATCGACAGCCGGCCTCGCGATTGAGTTGGCTTCGTTCGTTTTTTGCGTTGCTTATTTAGTCTGTGTATTATTTTGTATAGAACGCAGTGCGACACAACCTGTCTCTCCACAAATGTTTCATGCGAGTCGAAAACGTGAAAGGCGCCGTATGGACGGTGGACGAAGTGGAGTTTTACAAGAGACGTCCTCAACGCGCTTGCAGCACGACCGGGTACGTTGCCCCCGTCCCACCGACAAAAAAACCAAAAATCTCACAGCCGCGTTTTTTATTATACTCTCTTTTATTATACTCTCTATACGTCTCTATAGATCTATTTACCTCTACTTATATATTTATATATATATCTACGACATATATTATATATATATTATCTTATTTCTCTTCTCTGTCTCTTTCTATCGATATATATATATCATTATTATAACAATCTTCCCTCTTTTTGGTACCCCCCACCCTCACTCTCAAAATGGCTTTTCATCACAACAAGAGAAAAAAGAAAAAAAGAAAAGAAAAGAAAAGAAAAGAAACAGACCGGTTTCAGACCACAATCCGAAATAATCGGCCTCGGTCGCATCCTATCTTTTTTATATTCTTCAACTCCCCTTTATCCTTCGTTGTTCCTCTCTTTGTTTTTTTAATAATATTAATATTAATATTAATAATAATAATATATATTTATATATATATTTATATTTCTATATATTTCTTCTCTCTCTATCTATATGTCTTTTTACATATTTATCTAGATATTTATATATAGATATATTTATACATACTCTCACTTTTCGCTTTTACTCTCTAATTACAATACTCGTACCGCTAACCCCTCCCCATTCATGTTTTTTACTATCTTTTTATCTTTTATATATATATATATATTAATATACGTCTTTTTACATTTTTATATATATATATACACACATATATATATTATATACGTGTGTATATATATTGATATTTTTATATATACATTTCTATATATTTCATAGTGTTTAATAGTCTATTTTTTATATGTATACATATTTATGTACAGCTTCTTTTACATATTTATATTCACGTATTTTTCATAGCTATATATTTAATAAGGTTTTTTATACTGTGTACGCATAAGCGCGCGCAGAACGCGTATGTATGTATACGCACATATACACGCACGCTCTTCTGTTCACCTATGTATCATATCTATATATATCTATATATATATATATTTCTTGGTTTCCTATATATCGTGCCCGACCCTCACTTTATTTTTTTTCTTTTTTTCATTAGTACGTCTGTGTATGTTTCTAGACCTTTTGTATACCTTATGCGTGCGCATTCATACGTATAGATTTGTGTGCGTGTGTGTATATATAAACCATTTTATTTCTCTCTCTGTCTCTCTCTCTCTTTCTCTCTCTGTCTCTCATACACCTGTGTACGCCCTGATAATCTGTAAATCGCTTGCGTCGTTTGTTTGTACGTTTTTGCTAACATCGAACTTCCCGAGTTACAATCGTTCAAATTTCACGCTAAACTTCGATATTAACACTCAACTCGTGTCATCGGGCCATTGGGATCATAAAAATTTAGGATTGAATCACTTGCTTTTGGAACGTCTAGCTGAATTTTATTTGATCTCATTAATCTCTCACAAAATTTCGGTAATCACGCATAAATTATCTACATCCGATGATACTGTTTGAGGGTTGATGCAAATGTTTCCATCTGACAAACGTTGAGAAAAAGTTGAAATTTTTATTAAACGGAGACGTAGAAGAAATACTAATATAATTTCTCTCCACGAATTGTACTCGGGGGCAATTAGCTTCTGTATTGTGTTTGGTCCCGCGTGCGTGTGATTTTTCTTACTTGCCCGTCTCTCGTGTGCGATGGTAGCCGTCAGTATGATGTGCGTGAACGTGGTTAAAAAGGAAAAAAGGAAAAAAAAAGAAAAAAGAAAAGAAAAGAAAAGTGAGTGAGTGTTCGAAGAATCCACGATGTGATGGAGAAGGAGGAGGAGGAGAAGCAGGCGGGGGATGATGTGGTGCGAATGTGGCCGACTTCTTTTTTCGCTGTTGCGTGAAAGGATACCGTAGAAAACCGTGGTGTGTGCTTTTTAACAAGCATGTGGGCTTTGCAGCGACTAACCGATTGAAAATTTGGCAGGGCCAAAGTCTCTCTGGCCCGAGTCTAGTCTCGATAACACTCGGATGCCGGATGCGGGATATGCCAGTGCCGAGTGAGAACCGCAGTATCGCACTTGGTCAGGTAGTGACAGGAAAGAAATCGCTCTTACTACGTACTTACTACTTTACGTTGTCTCATTTTTTTTTTTATTCTTAAATTCTCTTACAACCCCTTCTTTACGAGTCTGTGCTATCTTTGTTATTCTCTGGAACGTCGGGATTCGATCGAGTCGCGGGCCCCGAAGGCTCGATGATCGTCGAATTCCAGTGGGGGTAGGAAAGGACGACGAGGCTAAGTTGCGAGCTGCCAGACAGCTCGCGATCATCTTCGTCGCGAAGGTTTCACGGTGCATGAGATCGAGAGTCGCGATCGTTTTGCGTTCTTTGAAGAAACGGTCGTGCCACTCGAGGGCAACGTTTCGTCAAACGCTTTTTAAGAACGTTGCGCAGAAAGGAGGAAAGCTTAGAGCTCAGAAAGAAAGGAAGAAAAACCCCCCCAAAAAAAACAGAAAGCAGAAAACCAAAGACGAGGGGAAAAATAAATAAAAAAAAAAAAAAAAAAAAAAAAAAAAAAACAAACAAAGTATTATATATATGTATTATATTTTAAAAAATTTTTTTCCCGTTGGACTTAAAAAAAAAAAAAAAAAAAAAAAAAAAAAAAAAAAAAAAAAAAAAAAAAAAAAAAAAAAAAAAAAAAAAAAAAAATAGAAGCTAGAAAAGGAAGGAAAAGAAATATATTTCAACAGCAACAAGCAGAAACAACCTTTATCTTTTTTACTCTCTTTTTCTCTATTTCTTGGTGGTCTTGTCTGTGTATACAGAACGCGATCCGCACCAATCTATCATTGCACAAGTGTTTTGTGCGCTATGAGGACGACTTCGGGTCATTCTGGATGGTGGACGACGCCGAGTTCGTAAAGCGGCGGCATCTGTCCCGCGGCCGCCCCAGGAAATATGACCCAACCCCATCACCCACTCCACCCCACCTCTCCGCACAGTAAGCACTACCACTTTTTAGAATTCTGCTGGCTGACTGGCGCGACGTTCTGACCATACCGCGGTATTCATTCTCTTGTAACGCGGCGACCGGGACGTTATCGCTTGGTCGCTGCCTACATGAACGAACCACTAAACGCCCTCTCGAACCTGCTGCCTTTGTCGTCCTTTGTCGCGGGTCGAACCGTCGATCATTGTCTTTCGTCATTCGTCGCGTTACGCAATGAAAAATGGAAAAAGAAGCAGAAGAGAAGAAAAATTTCACTTGTACTTCTCAGTGACGTTGCCCGTTATTCGCGCCAAAAGAAAGAAAAAGAATAGAATCAGAAGAAAGTACACGGTTCGCGCGAGTGAATCGCGAGTACGTCGTCGTGTCCGACTCGAATCGGCTCATTCTACTCACCATTTACACGCGCGCCTCGTAGCGTCATCGTGTTCGCGTTGGAATTTTCGAGCAGAGCCCTTTGGAAAATGACTTCGAAGGCAGCAGGGAGTGGCTGTAAGCAGTTTATCCGATCCCCAGGAAACGAATTCCGCATCATGCCTGCCTCGATACGCCCTTAGAATCCGTCTCCTCAGATACCCAAGGATAAGTAGCACCCCCGTTTTCAACCTGTTCCTCAGAATCTTCATCAGAGGTGCGCAATGTTCACGGCAGAGTGAAACGGGAATAATTTACAACACGTGGAAACGTGCGCGCCGCTTTTCTTGGGTAATTTAGAAACGGACGGGAAAGAGAAAGGAACACGACGGTGGGTTTGGATCGGAGAGATTTGTTAAAACGCGCGAGGGAGCAGGGAATTTTCGTCCAATTAAAATTTACAGCTGGAGCTTGTTAACGGTTAAATCTGCGCACCTCTGCTTGTGACGTCCAAAACAGCCCTCATATAGTACAATCCCCGTATACGTCTCACTAGTACCGTAGCCCGAGGCTCTAGCACACCCGAGAGAGCTTAAATCCTGGACGATCCTGCAGGAGCCCAGCCACAGGACGATTGGTCCGCGCTGCAGGATCTCTGATGTGTTTAGTGGTTGCTCGCATGGATAATCAAGAATCCTAATTATTCGTTCCCATAAAGAGTTAAAACAAAAAAAAAAAAAAACAAAAAAAAAAAAAAAAAAAAAAAAAAAAAAAAAGAATGAGAAAAAATACAGAAAAAAAAAAAGAACGAAACTCCCCCGTAAGACTTATCCTCACCACTGATTAAAAAAAAAAAAAAAAAAAATGAAACACTGTGCTTATAACTGTATGGTGCTTACGTAGTGGCGTTTGCAGTGTCTTGGGAGAATGTGGAAGTGTTTGCGTGGACAAACGTTTCGTTACCCTTCATTTTTCGATTTTTTTCTTCCTCTGTTTCGCTGTACAAGCTGAAGTTTTCCGATACGGCATCGCTAACAGTTCCTTCTTTTTTCGTTTAGCAACGATCGTTCGAGTGAACGAAGCGTTTGTCGTTTTCATTTTGAGTTCCTTCTCTACTTCTTCTTCTTCTTCTTCTTCTTCTTCTTCCCCTTTTCTTTCTCCACTTTGTTTTCCTTTTCTTTTTTGCGTTTCGCTGTTTTTTGAAAGACACATGCTGTGTAGCGTAGTAATAGAAAATGCAAATAAGTTGACGACAGAGTTCGTAAAAGGGAAGGTGAAGCGCTAATTTTCTTTTTTGATTAGCCTAGTTTGATGAGAGAAGGCAAGTTGTTAAAGTATGCGTTTAGTTTATTCTTTTTTTTTCTTTCTTACTACCCCCGCCCTCTCTCTCTCTCTCTCTCTCTGTCTCTCTGTCTCTTTCTCTCTCTATCTCTCTTTCTCTCTCTTTCTCTGTTACGGCATTCATCGTTTTCTCTATTTCTGTTTCGCCTTTAGTACGCTTTTTTCAACGTGAGAATGGTTTTCGGTGTGACTGATAATGTGTGTCAGGGCTACTCGCGCATGTGTAAATTGTGTAAATTAAGCGTTACAAACTGCAAGAAAAAAAAAAAAACGAAAGAAACGAAAATAAGATATAATATCTCGGATGATACGGAATTCTCCATTCATCGCTCTACGACCACTTCTCTTCTAACTCAAGGTACCTCACCGTTAACGTACTAACTTTGCAACTTCCGGTAATTTTTCTCTACTTTTTTAAATGATCATCTTTTTTAAACGTTTTTTAACATTTTTTCTATCTCTCTCTCTCTTTTTATATACTCTCTTACACTCTTTCAACTTCTACTCTCTACTCTCTTACATCTGTCTTCTCTCTCACTCTTATCTATCTGTCTCTTTCAATCTTTCTCTCTTCCGTCTTTAATCTTTCTGTCTCTTTTTCTCTCTTCACTCACCAGCGCTCTTAGTCAACTTGATAAACGGCTCTGGGCATTGTTTTTTTTATTCTTTCTGTACATATTTTTTTTCGCATGCGAGCAATCGTCTCTTGCAATCGTCACGTCGTGCCTCAACTTCAAACAAATGTGTCGTTCATTCGAACTCACATTGGGACATGTATATGTTTATATTTTTTGTCATCTTATCGTTTGCAAGAGAAAGTCTACTTTCTTCATTCGACGCTCGTCGTTTGGGGAAAGTATTTTATTCCTCGGTTGACATTCGATGCCTAATCGTTCGTGAGGGATTACGGTGGAAACTATAAAAGGGTAAGCACAGGTAAGCCTCAGAGCCATTTATAAGCAACGACGTCGTTTCGTATGGACAGATACAAAATATTCCAAATGTGAAATAGTTCGTTTAGAACAGAGGAAAAGGCCAGCGAAACGGGAGCGCTCTTTTTACAATTTTTTCTCTAAATTTTTTTATCTTAACCTCGCTCAATCTGAACCGTGCCCGATCGTTGGACGAGTGAGGAACATAAAACTGGTGAATAGGTAAGAGTTTTCGAACTCTTTTTCTTCCACTCTTTTTTATCACTTTTTAAATATATATATTATATATACGTGTATACATTTTTTCATATTATATACTTCTCTCTCTTTCTATCTCTCTGTCTCTCTCTGTCTCTCTCTCTCTCTCTCACTTTCCATTTTCTCTATCTCTCTTTTTCTATCTATTATACCTTTATACATATTGAAACTCGATCACACGTGCACACATTGTACACACAAGCTCTATCTTTACCCGCCCCGTCCTCCACCCTCAGACCCCTTGACCTGAAACCTTCAAATTCTCGAAAAAAAAAAAAAAGAGAAATTTATTCCACCCGTATACATCGACACAAACTTGAGAATAATATATTTAAAAAAAAAAAAATAAAGAGCCTATATACACGCGTTTCTATTTCAGGAAACTGTCGATTTGTCGAATCTCGACGATTACTAATCGAAATTTTCTCTCTCGATATGTAGGGGTGTCCCGTCGAAAAGTCCAACTCTAACGCATAGCCCGACCATGTACGGTGACGCATTAAACGCCAATCTCCAGGTAACTGTTTAAAACACGACAGCAATATTTCTTTTTCTTTTTCTTTTTCTTTTTTTTTTTTTTTTGGTTTGCTTTTTATTTCTTTTTTACATTAACGTATCTTTCGTAGTCTCAACGATTAGGTACAGGAACGGAATATTCGTGACTAACCATCTAATGCAATTTGAGTATTTCCAGGCGGCACTCGGCGACTCCAATATGGGATTTTTAAACAACTCGATGTGCACGTCGACGACGACGAGCCCCGACAAGGAGCACGTGTTAGCCCATAACGATTTAATGTGAGTGCGCAACGCTTACGTTCCTTCTTTCCAAGATTAATTCTACTCCGCTCCTTACAGACTACGCAACATCTACGAATTATAAACGAAATGTGCATAACAGAGTACTAGAAATTTCAAACAGTTGCCACTTCTCCTTGGGAAGATTTCTTTCGTCGATTATTGACAATAGACAATCATTCACTTATTTAATAACTGTTTCACCAAAGATAAATACATTTGCGGTTGAGTAGGTTCATTAACGTGCCAACGTCAATTTCATTCTGCAATTAAAATGTTTACAGACGTTTTTTAACTTCTCGTCAACAAAATTAAAAATAGTACTATAAAGTTCGAATACTTGCACGAGCAAATGTGTGTCGCTTTTGTCGAATTATTTTCTCTCCAACTGTGCACTGTCTCGTAATATAAAAATAGTCGAGGAAAATTCCATCCTCAGTTGATCGATCATGCCTCTGCATAATCAAAAAAAAAGACTTGCGTCCGAAGGATAACGTTGTCGGCAGACATAACTGAGCAGTTTTCTCCGCAAACTCGGCAGGTCACCGTTGGATGAACCAGCCGTGCACATAAAGCAGGAGGGTCAGAGTCCAGAGGGGGGTAAACTCACGAGATTAATAAAACGGGAGCTGGTTGACGGGCCTGCGGAACAAGAGGGTGAAGAGGATCAGGTGGACGAGAGGGAGTATCCCGAGAGCCACGGCCACGACTCCGGCCAGGACGAGGACATGGCCGAGGACCTGTCGATGGCGCCCGACATAATGACACCGGAGGATCAGATCGAGGCGTAGTATCGTTCGTCGAGGGGCGAGTAGATTCGTGCTGTCGCGTCGGAGTGCAGTCGTGACGGAAGGACGAGAAGAGGAAGAGGAACGCAAGGCGAAGCTTCTCTTCTTCGTCGATCGGGAAAGCTAGAGGCGCGATTATAATATAATATAATATACAACGTATGAAGGTTGAACGTGTGAAGAGGTGGAAGGATGGTGAAGTACGTAGACGAGAGAAAAAGACGAAGACGAAGACGAAGAAGAAGAAGAAGAAGATACGAAGAAGACGATGAAAAGGCTCCTAGGACCACCCAGCCCTCCACTCCTCCTTCGTAAGAGAATCCTCATTTATCATATCCAAGGCCGTGATACGTTCTACAGAGCGGCTCTTTAAAGGTAAAGGCAAAAGAGGAATAAGAAATGGAAGAAGAAGAAAGAAAAAAAAAAAAACGAAAAAGAAATGAACGAATAAGAAACGTACTACTAGTGTGTGCGTGATCGATCGCGACGAAACGTCGAAACGAGAATCGGCGACTATCGTGATAATATAAGGCGGCGCGATCCTTCGATCCATATCCTTACTCAAGCAATTTGCGAACAACGATTGTATTTTCTGTTCTCCAATTCCGTTTCGTTTCAGAACCGCGGTTATATCTCTATATACATATACTATACATAAATATATATATATATATATATATATATAAATATATATATATAACTTTCTCTCTCTCTCTCTCTCTCTCTCTATCTTTCTCTTTTGTGTACATTGCATTAGCGAGTAAATCGAAGAGAGGGAGGAAAGGAAAACGAATTGCATCCGCGATCTCGTTCGTAACATCTCGACGAATAATAATATCAATCTGATAATCTTTTGACGAACAGGAGTGAAAAAAGGAGAAGAAACCTCGAGCAGTCCTCGGCTCGTTTCTTACCTTCGTCATCGTGAAACGGTGCCTGCGTGTACGATTTACGTTACGTGTTTCTGCGTGTGCCGATCGCGCCTGTCATTTGTTGAACCAATTCGAAGATAGGACAGAAATCCGTTATGATTAAGAAGCAATTTTTACTTCGCGGAGAGTGACGATCAGCGCATGCGTACAAAAATTCTTTACGAAAGGAGCAATGTATCGCGTTTGACCTTGACAAAATTTTTTACACGAGAAAGACGCGCATTGGATGGAACACGTAGAACTATCTATCTCAAAGATAATAATAAGAACGACGAACAGATAAAGAAGGCTGGTACTAAGTTTAAGGAATAAATAACGAATCTGTGGTGATAGCAGCGCGCCGGGTACGCGCGGGGATGACTGACACTTTAGTCTTAAATAAATATCGTTCGTGATTAACTAGGAATCTTGCGTGTATCAAAAAAAAAAGAAAAAAAAAAAAGAAAAAAAAAGAAAAAAATCTCCGAGGGAAAGATATCTCCCTTTCCCTGATATCAGATAACCTAAACTTAAGGGAACGTGGTTCGCGTATGAAACACTCGGCCGCGAATCCTGGCGTACCCGATCGCTGCTCTGTTGCTAATCGCTGTATAGCTTAGGGGGAAAATTAAACATAAGTAGTTTCATAAACGACCGTCGACATCATAGACGTCGAACGAAGCGTGAAGATAAAACGTACACGCACGTGCTCAGAAGATCGTTTATCGTTTTGTTCGTGAAATATTCCGACGTTCGATACACCGAATGAATAAATAACGAGCGGAGATTAAATTAAATGCAATATCGATCGAGCGATGAAGAAGGTTGGGAAACGAGATCGAGAACGATCGAGAGAGAGAGACGAAAGTGACGGTGAGAATATTGATAATAAAAAAAAAAAAAAAAAGAAGAAGAAGAAAAAGAAACTGAAGAGAGCGGATGCCGTGTGAACGCACTTATAAATAAATTAAATTACAATGTATGCATATACATACACATATATTAATACGTATACGTATCTCGGAAATTATAAGGAAACTAGATGTCGATGGCCCTGTTCTCCGTTCTCCATCCAACATGATCCTTGAGAAAAGAAATCCTCGTTCGAAACTCCAGTAACCAACCAACCTCCTCTCCCTAGTCCCGTGTAATCAAGCTCGACTTCCGAAGTTTTAGGAAAAAAAATCGGACTGCGTCCAATTTTGCGTGGACAGAGTGTTGTCGCGTCCAGAAAAGGAAAAAAGGGGGGAAAAGAATGAAAAAAAAAGAAAAGAAAAAACGAACGAAGAAAAAATAAACGTTGGAGGGGTCGTTACTCGTCGATCTTCGAGCCCCTGTATACATATACACAAACATACATTCACACGCGCATACATACACACAAACATACAGATCACACACGCACGCACACACATATAGAGCTACATAGGTACACATGTAAAGACACGGGACGTTTTAAACGAAAGCGTGCCCAGGTCGGTGCGAAATAAAAGAAATTTTATCGAAGACCTCGATCGCGAGTCGCCTGGTAGTGTGTCGAATCTAATTTATTATTTCAATGGCCGTTGACGCCATTAAATGTATGTAAAAATCGTGCGTGCCGTTTATAATCGCGCGTCGCAGCGACCGGGAGACGATCGTGTGTGATATTATTCCGTTCTCGACTCGTAGCCATATATACACGGATGTTATATACGTTTGTTTGTAATATTTTTGTAAATTAATTCGTTCACGGGAACGTGTAGATAGGTTTAGAAAATCGGGAAGGGTTGGGGGGCTCCGTTACAATTGTCAGGGTATTCATTGCTCGACGTAAGAGACTCATCCCGAGTCGCTGTGGCGACGATGGTGTTTTTTCGTGTGTCAGTGACGAGGACCCGCGAGGAACAGAAGATATAATTGCTCCATCGATCGTTCTCAGCATTTATCGAGCAAACGGTTAATCGATCGAGCACACGCCGGCCGATCGACGTCGTCTCTATGACGTCCTCGCGTTTTATTTTCGTTAGGAAGATATTAATCTCGGAACGTCTATATTAACACGACTCTATATTAGTAATATTAGCATGACGAGAAGCATCGTGCCAGTCTTTTGTTAGCTCCGAATAGAATCCGCTTGATTCGTTTCAAACGCTTCACGATCGTGTCGCTCGATTATTCGTAGGCGTTAGCTAATAGTTGCGTCGCTTACGATCGTTATTCTTTTTTTGTCCAGTTTCGTCGATTCGTTCATTCCTGCGTGTGTTAGAGGTACTCTGTTCATTCCGCGTGTAACATAGTTAGCTGTTGGCTAGACGAGATAGTAAGTTTCGCCCGATAGTAGTAATTTCCCGTAAGTCAGCCGAGGTGTCCTTCGATTTTTCGATTTTAATCCGGGTCCATTGTCCTTCGTGCTAATAAGCAATTCACGTTCGCGGGTGATTCGAAATTTTTATCAAGAAAGGGAAAGGGATCAAGCGAGAAAGGCGCGTGAATGCGAGGTGTTTGCAGTTGGTCGCGTGCGTCATCGAGCATTGGATGTTGAAGAGTTGAAAAACAGGAAAGAAGACTGAGCAGAAACAACAGGGAACGGTGTTTGAGAAAACAAGTGAGAAAGAATCGCGAATGACCGTTTGGTGCCGTTCTGGCCTCACTTTCACGTGATGCTACTATTACTAATCTAAGTCTACATGTATTGTGTATAATGGATTTAAGGACTCGATATAACATAGAAAGCCTCTCCTGTAAATAGTTGAAGAGGAAAAAGGAAAAAAAAAAGGAACATTGTCGAGGCATTAGGGATTTGCGAATATTGCGTCACTCTGCGAATGAATGAGTTTATCGATAGTGTGGTCTATAAAAGTCTATATATATAAATATATAAATATAATTATAAATACACACGCGAGGAAACACGCAGACACACGCACACACACACACACATACCATACAGACACAACATACAACACAACACACACGTACAATGCGTTGCGCGTATCTCCCGGCTGCATTTAATTTTTACTTTTGAAATCTCGAATTTCTCGAATGAAAGAAAGATAAAGATTTAAAAAAACGAAAAAGAAAAACAAGGAAAATGGGACGACCGTTCGATTCTCACGAGCCGACAGCTCGGAACGAAAGACACTTTCTCGTTTTATCGTATCACGATTGGTCGTGTCGCGAACGAACGACGAGTGAACAAAAGAGCAGAGTAAAAAGAAAAAGAAGAAAAGAGGGAAAATTAAGAAAAAGAACGAGGATGACTGATCGATCGATTTCGAGTGGACACGAAGTTCTTCAATGTCGATTCACGTAGCACGAAGATCGTGGTCATTTTGTTTACGCGAATATTTCTTTCCTTTTTTTTTTTTTTTTTGTATAGTAGCCGCTGTTATCTTGCGAATAATTCTATATTGTACATGTTTAAACGTTCCCTGTTATGTTTGTTGTATATTTCGGATAGGTCTGTAAAGTAAAAAAAAAAAAAAAAAAGAAAAAAAGNGTAAAGTAAAAAAAAAAAAAAAAAGAAAAAAAGAAGAAAAAGAAAACTGAAACGAATGTATGAATTCTTTTCAAACGAGCGTAGGAAAGACAGGATTTAGCGTTATTACATTTCACTAGTTCATCGAAATCTTCACGGTTTATCGGCCAGATAATACTTTGCCAAACTTTGCTTGATTGTTTCTTTGTTCTGTACATGTCGATAAGTGAAAAAAAGGGAAATTTTACCTCGCGTTCGTTGTGTTACGAAGTGAATGACGAACCAGCGCGATCATATCAAATTATAAAGGTATCGACTGAACATTGTTGAATCGATATTTTCGTTCGTTGAGAATTCCTTTTGTGTAAATCCGAACGTTCTTAAATCGTAGTAGCGTGTAAAAGAAAATTTCGAATGCTGCTATTTTTTACGAAAAATCAGTTCGCGAGTCGAATTCGTTGTTTTATAAAGTATATTCTCCGTTGCATGTGTTCACTCCAAATTTTCACGGGAAAACACGCGGAAACATTGGAACATGCGAAGATAGAGAGGAAAAAAAAAATCTATTTTTTAATTGAACGAGAAAAGAAAAACAAGAGACACGTTCGAGATTCAAGCTTTCTTGTTGCTCGAGCGATTTTTTTCGAATTGTTCAGTATTATCCTGTGCCGTATGAGAAAAACGAGGAAGTTGTTCAAAGAATCTACAACAAATCCGAGAGCTCTTTAGATCAGTTGAAAATTCCTAGAGAAACTTTATCTATCTGAATTTTATTTTATTAAGTATTGTATGATAAGTTGCCTTGTAAAAATGTACCGATTTTACCGAGAAATTAAATGTGTTACTGAAAGAAAAAAAAACCAACTTCTGAACTGTTTCATCGACCTTTTTTTTCAATAAACAAAGAAAAAAAAAAGGTAGTGAGGTAGCAATTCATGAATTTATAAGTAGTCGTAATTGTAAGTAACGAGAGTTATCATTTTCACTGTACTTTCTTTGTATAAGACTGACATCGTTTGTATAATGCTTAAAAAGGGGAAATGAAAAAAAAAAAGATATGATCTTGTTAGGTACGTCAAGATTTATACACGTAAATTAATGTGTCTACGATTATATGTGTTTAGATCACAGAAGGACTTATATCATACTGTAAATAGAACACTTAAGAAATCGCATTTTCTAGCTCGAATTAAGCTTTAGTGTTAAGTCTTTATCTAATAGAATCGTCTTGAAAAGAATATACATACTTAATAAAAACAGCAATTCGTGAACATGAGGATCCAAAGCTGTCTAAACTGTTTGTTTCCGAATTCCTTGTTTGTCATATTTAAATAAAAGAATTGCAAACAATTAGCAATCCGTGAAATTCTTTTATCGAATATATTCTCATTTTCTTTCAGTCAGTTTCTTTGCCTCTGTTTTGTTAAACGATTAGATATTATTTGTTACTTCACAATTATGAAATTTAATTCATTTTTCTAACATAGTCGTTGTATGAAGATACGCAATTTTTATTTTGTTTCTCATTTAACTTGTTATCGTCCGTTGGTATATATTATTTTCTATTGATAAAGAAGGAAATATCTTAACTTCAATCGATATTGTATCATGATATGGTACGATACCGACGTAACATAAAATAAAATATATAATAATATTATAATAAAAAAATAATAAAATGAGAAAGTAAATCATCAGCAAGTTTAGTTTTTATTCTTTTATTACAGTTATCGTACGCGATTAAAACATTCCTGTTGCTTTTTTAAAGCAATAAATTCATAATATACAGGGTCCGATATACATAAAAATTCTAATTCAAGCAGAATGAAAAGTTCAGAGACATTTTTCTTGAAGGAAATATTGTAATTTACAAATTCTAAAATTTTACTGACTTAAATTAACGAACGAGACGCAAGATGCTTGTTACTACTAAAATAATTTCCTTTATTCGAGTAGTTTGTACAATTAATCATAGAACATTGTAAAAATAAATATCATAAACCGACTGCTAGAGACAGTGTTCTACCATCTTAAACAGAATTTTGGACACTCTATTCTTCTCCTTATCATAAAAATCTAATTAGATGTTTCATCCACTGGCTCCGTCTCCATTTCCTCCAACTGACCAGACACCAAATCTAATTTCGAAGTCCATGGTTTCTCCATTTCTTGCGTGTTCACCTCTTCTATCAAGTTCATCATCCTGATGAAAAATTCGTTCAGCTTCGCCGCTGTGCCTCGTCGTAGCTTCTGAAAATTTCTACCTGCATACAGACATGATTAGATATAAATTACCACGACGATGAATCATTTACTCGATTCAGAAGCCGGGACTAAAGCGGAGATCAGATAGAATCGTGTTATCTAGGTCTCTCGTTTTATGTCCTGTCACATGTTGACCGCAATTATTGATAATATAAATAGGACGATGTGACATGGAACAGTGGAATCAATATTTCTGGCGATTAGTTGTATGTTGTGTTGGTCAAGAGAGAGGGAAAGTCGGTATATGTGTCAACTGCTGCACGGGAAATGGTTATGCCTTTATGAAATATGAAACAATCACCAGCGGAGGATACTTGCTCATTTTATATTAATAGTCTAGAAATAGTTTCTGCTTTGCCAAGGACCTCTGTTGTTTGCAACTAACGTGGAATTGAAATGGTGATCAAACAAAAGAAATGTGATATCCTTTCTCTCATTCATAATAGAAAGCTAGATAGTTAAGAGTATTTTTAGAAAGTTTCTCCTTTGAAATTCTACCCCAGCTCATAGATAGTTCCAAAGGAAATGAGATTCTTTTTATTGAATTGTTGATCAAATGCAGAGAAGTTTGATTCACAAGAATGACAATGTAACAATATTTTTGTTTTAGAACATCGTTCAACTGACGGTGGTCAGATTATTTTTTGGTGTAATTCATTCCAAAAAGGAAATATTTAATAAGGAATTATAGCTAAGAAAGTAATAAATTTCAAGTATATCAACAATTTAGGATTAACTCGGCCTTTGCTGTTTGAGAATTGAAAGATATCGTTGGATTCTTAATCAGATCAAATTTTTATCATCACATCGAAACTCTACTGGTTTTCATTCTTAATGACCAGACTGTGGACTTTTATGCATTTGTGAAATATTTGCAAGACGTCTACTACATCATTCAGAAATATTCAAAATATTCAAAAATTGAATTAGATTTCTCTACCTAATTATAATTTCTCCAGTTACCTCTACAAAAATATAAATTTGCACAAATATCCACAGCCTGCTGAGATAAAAATCTCTTTCTTTAGTATTTACTGGAAGGATAAAAGGCGCTCTTCATCCAGATACTCTGCTGCGTGAGCGCAGCCATAAACCTCTTCGTAATCAAGCTCTGGCACTCCGGTGTCATCGGTCTCAAGCGACTAATAAACCGTAGAAGATACTCCAGTAAATATCTGTTAGAGCTAGGCAATTTTTCCAGGCATCTCTGAGGTCTGGAACTCCAAACGACAATGTAACTGAGACTATCGACATCCAGTAAAGGATGCTTCAACGTCTCCAGCCATTCGAATAACAATCCTGACAAAATATCCAAGTCAGTTTCCATCGGAAGTCTCTGCCAGGCCGTAGACCTGTGATTCAGATCCATCTGAAAATCCACGAGACACGATTCACTTCCACGACACTGAATGCCCAATATCCAGGTAGAAAATGATTCTTCAACCTGGTAGTCCTGGAGGCGTTTTTTCGTTTTGTCAGACAAAGTGACGTTGTCTCTGATCAGAGCTCTAACTGCTTCTTCGGTGCTCACTGTCTCGAGTGCCGCGTTTTGAGCAGCAACTTTCAAGTCCATGTGAGACTGAATCTCCTTGTAACAATCGTTGTCTACGAGATCCTGGCCGTGGATTCCATCACCGAGGACATCGTCCACGTAGCTGTCATCTAACACTGTGAAAAATAATGTTTCTCTACAACTATCTTGGCCTGCTTTTCTTTTTTTCTTTTTCTTTTTAATCTTTTTTACTAATTCAACGATTTCATTTCAGGTGGAGTACCTGGGAAAGCGGAATCGCAAGATGGAGTATCGGGAGAGGTGCAAAATACGTCGCTCAACCTTCCAATGTCATCGGACGTTCCTCTTGAAGACGCCTGACTGCCACTTGCACACGCTTTCGTAGAACCTGAAGTGATAATTAGGATAATCAGATAAATCGCAAACTGTCAGGGACTTGCAGTTTAATTTTCTTTTGCTTACTGGAACAGTCGTAAGAATCAGCGAGTGACTCGGCCCACGAGTAAGAGTGTCTGATATTTCCCTTGTTATCTCTTAGCTTCTCCAAAACGTGAGATATGAATTTCTGTGCAAAAGATGTATTAGAAACAATATACTTGATCTCGCAGGGAGAATTGTCCTCTTGACAGTCGCACAATTGGAGAATTCGTTCGCAAATTGTGAATATAATCTGAAATTTAGCAAGTGATCGTTTAGTTGTTCGTTCGATACGTCGTCTTATGCCAAGATCACGAACGTTTCATTATAGGTCCACAAAAAATGATACCTTGTAATTAGACTGTAGACTTTTGTGCGTTTATATCATAAATTTTCAAGTTTCTATAACTATTTACATTAAACTATTTTCTAGGAGCTTCTACTTATTTAATTACATTCTCAAAATTATGATATTACGATAGAAATTTTTTTTTTTTTATGTGTTTATAACAGTAAACGAGTAACGAAGAATACTGAAACAATTTCTAAAGAATGAACGTAGCCTATATGGTTGCTTGTAATCTGGCCATTTTACATTCGAATGTAAATTTCTATAATCCACTAAATCTCATATTCGTGACGTTAGCATGAGAGATTTGTTTGATTCTCGAAAGATGAAAGAACCTTTGGAATATATTTGAATGTACGTTGCTCGTATCCGTGTAGTACGTTGTGCTGCTTTTTCAGATGCGATTGCAGGCTGCAAGGCTTGCGATCGCCTATTGTGCTACTCAAAGGAAAAACTATCATCTGTGGAAGCACGAAGTGCTCGAACTCCTGGATGCAAAGTATTTGCCCCCGTGTCTGTATGGCGGATGGTCGTTTCATACGTACGAATCGTATCGCGTCGTTTGCTCGCACACGAAGACTGTAAATAAGGTAGCACGCGATCAGAACCCCAGTTCTGCCCAGCCCTGAAAAATGTACGTGTCCTTTAAACTTATCTAAACCATGTATGATTAATTGCTTGGTCGATGCTTCGAAAATTTGCATATTTTATATTTAGAATCGTATCAATGGAAGCGTGGATGTGCATATGTAAACGTAAAATATGCACGCGAAAGTTTAGAGATTGAAAAATTTCTGAAATCTACATATATTTTTTTCAGTGATAGTGCGATGTTTTCACTTCACAAGGAAATTTATTATCTTCGAACGTTTACGTCTTGGAACCAAGTTGCAGTTATCTGGAAAATTTAGGACATTCTATTGATTCATTTACATTTTACGTCGCGTCGTTGTCACGCAACTTTTAATAAAATTTCATGATTTTATTATACTACGTTATATTTCAATAACGTCGCGAGTTACTGCCACGCGATAAGTCGATATCACAATTTTATTAAAAGAGAACGAAATTATCTGAAAATTTATAATTTCAAACGTCTGCTACAACTTCGTGTCATATTACGAAGCCAATATTCCAATTTTTAGCAGAGGAGAAATTTAAAAAATTCCGTGCTTTATTATTCAATCGAATGATTAAATTTTAACAACGTTGCGAGTTGATCCTAATTTTTAATGAAACAACACCGAAACGTTCGGTTGAGTTGAACGATTCTAAAATTTACTAATTCAAACATTTCTATTTCGATTTCATATCGATACTGCGAATACTGTTCCAACGCGACGGATATCCTAAATTTAACGAAAACGAGCCAGAAATTAATAAAACTTTCACAACATCGCGAGTCTGTTATCATCCCGGAACAGTTGAAATATTTATCCATAAAGAATAGGTCCGTGGTGCCTATCGATCGTGCCTAATTCGGGAAATAAATTACATGCTCGTGCGCAAACCGTGAAACGGAAGCGGGACTCGTAATCGTTGTTGGTCTTGTTTCCGGGGTTAACAAGAGTTATGACGTATCCACTTGATAGTAACCGTAACCTGTGTTTCCATTTCGCGGGTATCGTTGAATATCGTAACGCGTGTCCGTATGATTCGTAATTAAGTTGCAGAGTGTATATGCGAGGCACGCGTGGAATTTTGGCTATTCGATTAAATCGCCGCTTGACAACGCGACCGGGGAATTCACTGGGCAAAAGAATTCGACATATTCCTCGCGATAAACCGGTCTCGTGCACGGAACAAACCGTGGAAATAAATCATCTCGGTAACGAAAGCGGTTCTGCAACCATTACGGTTGGTATGTCTTGTTATATGAAAACTGGCGTAGCTTCGTGTACGTAATGATCGGGTCTGATGATATGTAGTTTCACAAGAGGTTGCCCTTAGATCGATTCGTCAGATGCGAGGAATATGGAAACTATGAAGAAAATGTTGTAATTTTTATGGTCGTTAAATATGTATGGTCCTTGTTATTGAACAAGCAATCGATCGATACGATCGAGCTCAAGTTGCATCGAGATTCCGAAACTTCTTACAAAGAAACTTCGATGAAAACGGAATAGTTATTCGATGATATGACTGTGATGTACGTGCGAAAGTATTTGCACAGTTGGAATGTAGAAAAATAAAAAGTAATATTTTCTGTGTTATTAACCCTCGAATAGCGGATAGTTTTATACTTGCATGCAAGACGATGACCTGGTCAGATTTGTTTTAATATATTATATTTCTTTTTTTTACGTACACGAAAGCAAATTCTTACAGTAATTTCTTTCTTCTATCGTAGAATATTTTAATTTTTTAAATTATACTTCTATGTAATAATCGAAGAGATGTTCCAGTATACATAAAATGTCATACACAAATATTTAAAGTACTAAATTTAATTAATCTTTGCTTTTGTAGGTTTGTTAGTCATCTGCCTATAATAAAATATCTGGATAATATATAATATATTTCCTAATTTAAAAAATATTTCAGTCTTTTATTTCTTCTACATTCCTACTGTATAAATACTTTCACCCGTAACTGTAGCTTCATATTTTTACGAGAAAGTTCCAGGGTTGAATATTTGCACAGGGAGTTACGACACGTGAATACTAGAGCCCCGATGTTACGCCCCAATTTCTTATCATTGCTTATCTATTATTCGTGCCCATAAATTTTGTTAAAGAATTGAAGCGAGTGAACGTTTAATGGTTGGAAAACACGCTTCCATCCAATTAAAGAATTAGCCGTGGAACCACCTAACAAAGGATGTTAAGGCTTTTATAGCTTTATTCAACGCCACGTCAGGATATTGTTTTATGTGTTAACTAGAATCAACTGCCTCTAATATGTGTGTACTTACTTAACCCTACTATGTTCTCTACGTTACTTTCGACGCAATTGTCTTTTTTTCATCGTTAAAAATTTCCTTGAATTTGCGAGGACGTCCTTTCGTTCCATTTTATGACAAAGTTTCATCTTCCACCTCTTGTTCAAACGAGAACAAATTTGAGATGTAAAAGTTGGTATAAATTTACTTTACTTTACAACAAAGTCGGCGAGCATATAAATAGTAACAATTTAATTGAAATTTTTGTTGGTACATTTCTAAAACACTACCAACTCCTATCTCATGGTATACTAATATTAATGCAAATATTAATAAAATAAATGCAGTACGTATTTTACGCGAGTTGTAGAACCAAACTGCATATTCCTGTTATGCTCGCCACTGCAGATAATTTAGCCGCGGATGTTCGTGCATTAATGGAAAATTTAAACATACAAAAATATGCAAGATATGCACAGGTATGCAAAGTAAAATATCCCCTATGATATTCAGCGAACGAAATAAATTTCTATTTAGCTTCCATTTCTTTAGCTGCGTTCGTAAAAATATAGATTTGCTCGAAAACGAATAAAATACATAATCCATGTTCGATTTCTGAAAAAGTTAACATTAATTTTGCTAAAAGTAGACGCATGTTTTTGGCAAATATACAAACAAGCAATCTAGAATCCATCGTTTCAATGAATCCGATATCTCTAGTATTAAAAATGAAACGAAATTTTCTCTTTCTTTCTTTCTGCGCGATATTACAACAAGATAACAGTTCTCTTACAAGCTAGTTATTTTCTCGATTTAGCACGTGGAACATATAATTCTTGCCGACTCCCTCACAATCAGTCGAAAGTTCAAGGAAGATCGTAACGAATGCAAAAATTCAGATGCACCATCAGGTGAACGCCGCGTGTTGCAACACGCAATGCACCAAAACAGGTATCGTTCTGGCTGAACGCGCTTCGCACGTGGCTTAGATCGATACACTGTTCAAAGGTTAAGAATCGTTGGTTGATAAAGGATAGTAGGACCGCGCGAAAGTAAATTAGGAACGTTTGAAACATCGTGTAACTTCAGTCCCCGCGAATTAAAAAGTCTTATGTAAGCGATGACGGTAGAAAAAACGGCACGTGTTTGCTCGTTTTCTCATCACGATAACATCTTTCTAGAAACGCTTTCGCGCCAATTTTACCATTGAATTGAAGAAAATGACGACTGCAATTTAGCGATAAGAGATCGAAGAACGATCGAAAGTAGGCACTATTTGATAGGTAGTTTGTGCGAAAGTAAAAATTGGGTCGGTGCATCTATCGAAAAGAATCGATTTACCGGCATGACAGTGAATTGCCACTCTTCCCTCTTGCACAGCAAAGGCCACGACCTTGACCATATCCAAAAGTTTGCTCATGGTCGCATCTCCGTAGTCCTTCAATGCAAAATTGTAATAGTAAACTGCAACAAATTATCGAGAATCGTGATAGTTGTAATCCTTTGGTATTTAAAGGAGGAAAACTGTAAGTCATAGAAAATATAATTGTTATTACGATTGTCGAAAGTTTCGTTTCGTCTGCATGGTTATACGATTCTGCTGCATTGCATGTTGCAGTTAAACTTCTTCGATCTGACTCACCCGAAATCGAAGGTGATTCACCAGCTTAGCTTTCAAATGCAACTCAGTTTCGTCGCGGTTAAATAACTATTGTATCTATGCTTTTCGTGTTTTTTATTACAGTCCAATTGTAGTTTAACTTTTATAATATTTTCGGGATTTGAATAGTTTTTGAGGTACGAGAGAAGTTTACCTTTATCATTTGTTAACAATAGAATTTTTGTAGAGAAGGTAAATATTTGTACGAAACAGCAAGTATGAAACGGTTGATATTAATTATTAATATTATTTTAGGGTTCTTTTATTGACACTGGTGTCTTTTGTATAATGTCCATAAATTTTTATCGAACGTTATTAATGTTCAATTTTCTTAAATCAGCATGACTTTTGATTGACTCATATAATGTAACGTTCCCTTTTCATTTTTGTGTTTGCGGTTGCAGGTATGTTTTAACACCTACTGCCATGTTTCATGAAGACATTCGGGTCGTAAGTAAAACCACTTTCTTCCAGCGGACCACCACAGCTTGCATGCTCGCCAGGCGTTTGCAGGTTTATTATGGTTTTTATGCTCCACCCTTGAAACTGTGCGATTATGTCCTTTTTTATTATTTGTGCGGTGTTCGGCCGTGCCATCGCAAGAACGTCGTCTGTTACCCTAAAGAATTATTGACCCTTATTTCTCTTGTTGATTCACCGATAATCAACTTAATATCAAACAGAGACAAGAAGATTTGGATAAAAAAGTTAAAGAATTCTTTCGTTTTCTATTCTCATGTTCCAATTTTTTCTTACAAAGAACCATTCTCAAATTTTTCATTAATTAATGTTCCAATAATTCGTCCCAATATTCTGACAATTGAGGTTTCGTAATCGTAATTTAAGAAAAAATCGACTTAAAAGAAAATCAAATTTACCATCGTTACAACATGATTTTCACCCAAGTTAATTTGAATAACATCTTAGATTACGTGACGAGTTTAATTTCGTCTGTTCACAGTGGGAAGTCCACCGCGTCGTGATAATAATCGATTCAATTTCTTTCCAAGATGAAAATAGAAACGAACTAAACTGCAAATTTCATTTCTATATATGAATGAAAGTAGAGGCCCACGAGCATGGAAACTAAAATTCGTTGTCCCTCGTAAACTTTTATCGCGATCTTACCAATGCGAAAAAATGTTTTGTATCGCCATGTGCACTGGCGGCCATGCCTTCGAGTTTTCATATTTGCATCTAGAACCGCCGCAAAAGATCGCGCACTGTATTGCTTGCGGCGTGAATTTTCGTAAATTTTCAGAGAATTTATTGTAACCAGCCTGGATCTCGCACAGATCCACTTGGCCCGCTTGAAAACCCGCTGGTACCAGTGAACTTACATCCATTCTACAAACAATTTTCGAGCGTTCATTTGTAACTTTTCTTTCATACCTTTACGATTGAAATTATATACCAAACTTTAAATTATTCTCTACTATATATTTTCTATATTAATTATCAATTTAATTTATTTCAAGTGTGAGAAATAAGAAAATATTATTATATCAAATTAAATAATTTGTTCCAATATCTCTTCCCTAAATTTTCTTTTCTTTTTCATTTAAATGAATGAAAGATCAGCGTACATGTTTAAAAATAATCACGCCCCTTCCGTCCATCTCATCGCCGTAAGGAAATTGAATTTTCCCCTAAATCCCCCTCTCTCTGTCCCTATCAGACACGTTTGACAATTCAAGTAGAATCTTTTTCCAGCGGTATTCTCTACGCAAGAATGCACGACACAACGTAACAATCAATGCAAAAAAGCACTTCACATACAGAGGTAAGCGCATAGCGACTGGTAATACCTCGCCACTATCACGGTATTTTATCTATCATTCTATCATACAGATTGCGCCTGCGTCAGGTCTATTACTATAAAACCACCTTTGTTTCATTTCATTCTTCTGTACACTCTGTGTTTTACAACACTCCAAGTTTGCTATACTCGATTTCTACAATTTCCCAAATAGAACTAAACTCCCCAAGGTCTTTCAAATAATTTTCCACGATGATCAAGTTCGGTGATTGATTTTACAAAATTGTATGGCAATTCTTTAATAAATTGATTTAATCAACATCCAATAATATTTCTCTTTGGAACATTGCGAAGAAATATAAAAATTTTTGAAATAAATTATTTAATAAAGTATTTCTAGATACTCGAATTATATTCTCTTGATATGAATTCGTAAAATACAGAGACTTCAGACTGTTCCTGTACGCAATTCTTAATGATTTTCCTTTGAACACAGGAATAGAAAAATGGATTTAGAAAATTGGAGGGGAAAAATTTAAAAAAAATTCAATACTCTTCTCACATTCATGATTTATTTAATAATTTTAAATAAGATACAAAAAATTTTCATATGTCTAATACACTAAATTAGTTCTTATTTATCATATTCTCCTAATGCAAAATCTGAAATTTGTCCAGGAATTCTAATCTGTTCTTAAGATATCTATCGCAATTATATAATCTTTCAAAAAATTCTCGTGTATGAATAACGCTTAATTTTCGTTTAAATTTCGAGACATAAGAATTTTCTGATAACTATCTGTCAGAAGACTTATTTCTAAATGTAAAATCCCAAATTTTGTTTGAGAATTGTTTTTAATTTTTAAAATTTTATTTAGTTTTTATTAATTCAGTACAAATACTCATATAACAAATTTATATATTTATTTGAAATACAATATTAATCTAGTATTGATTATTGTATAATTAAAATATATTTTATATTCCATTCCAGTTAAAGAGAATAAAATTACAAAAATTTAGCTAAAATTACATTAACTCTATGGCATACGTTTCGTTTTCATTGCGACTAATAGGAATAGCGATGAAACGGAAGTCCTCTTCATAGCCTAAGTTCCGCATGTAACAGAAGACTATACATATTCTATTTTTCTGTATTAATGTTTTATTTATAACTAAAACTCACATAAAAATCCAAAGGGAAATTTTATAAGTATCATGTTCAGAAAATAATTCAAATTAATTTTTGTTGATACTAACAAAATTCTGACTTGAGAACTCAGTACAATGCCATAAAATGGCGTGTGAACCGCACAATATGGTCGCGAGAGACGTGGCAGCAGTTGCTTTATCTCTAATAATACTACACGGCTAAAGTACCGACAAAGTGTAGGTAACCGCAACGCAATGGATCAAGTTTAGACAGGTTTAGATAAGATTATTTTAAGTGTGCTAAAGTCTTATTAATCTTTGACTGTGCATTGGAGTACGATTCGGTGAGTGCTAAGATGTCAGGCTTCGACGAAAATCCTTTCGGAGCACCGAATATCAACGATCCTTTCTCAGTGAGTATTTCAATAGCGGCTAGACCCGATTAATCATCTTTTACAATATTGCATGTAAAACTGTCAAATTATCATGAACAGGCATAATTGAATTATTATAACGCTATAGGTTAAGATTTATTATATCTCAAAATCAATACTCTTAATTATTTGATATTTTTAAATTTCATGATGATATTTTTAACTACATTTCATTTAATTATGTATTGTTATTGTTATTATTTAGTTTGTTAATTTATTGCTTTGTAAATAAAAGATTGTTGCTATTATTAAAGAGAATTTCTTAACTTTATATATAGACATCTTCTATAGATACACATTCTTTAAGTATTAGCACATCTGACTTTCTTTGTGAGGGTTAATTATGATATAAAGTAAATAACTGACAATCGATTACTTTTTTTAAACTAGGATCCTTCAATAAGAAGGGCTGTATCCTCTACTCCAGTTAATAGAGGTTTAGAGGATTATAATCCTTTTGCCGAACAAGGTTCACAAGGAACTGCACAAGTTAGAGGTGCTTCGAATCCTCCCATGTATGGAGGTATTGGAGCCACACAGCAACCAGCTACGCTTCAGCCTTCAACTCAAGAACCTCCAGCTACCAACTATGCCCGTACTCCACAGCAAACAGTAAATGCAACACTTGGAAGTACAATGTCTCCTACTTCAGATGTAAATATATTTGAAATTTGTTTTATTATATTCTACAGTAGACTGTAATGTTATTCTATATTTTTTGGGAAAATAATTAAATTTTAGCAAAGATCAGAGCCAGATTGGAAAGCAAGAACAGAGGAAGATATAAGAAGCACATCATACTATCGTGAGTTCTATACACAAAGAATAATTGTTTAATGAATTTGTTTATTTTCATCTAATAATTGATTTTTCCAGCCCAAAGGTACAACTGGCCACCGCTACCAGACAAATGCTGTTTTCAACCCTGCTTCTACCAGGATATTGATGTTGAAATTCATACAGACTTTCAGAAAACAGTCAGACAACTGTACCGCCTATGGATGTGTAAGTTTAATGCGCTGTAATTAATTTTAAATAAAAGAATAAATTAAGGAAGAAAGTGATAATTTCAAATTACAGTTCACGGCTGTGTTTTAATTCTCAACGTTATCGGCGGATTCATTCTGCTCTTATGTAGCGAAGGATTTTCTACATTCGGTCTTGGGATATTATATCTAATACTTTTTACTCCGTTCTCGTTTTTATGCTGGTTCAGACCAGCATACAAGGCTTTTAAGTATGTATTCAATCGTATATCAACGTCTCGGCACTCTATTAATTACTATTAAATATATTTTTCCTTTTTAGAAACGATAGCTCTTTTAACTTCATGGTATTTTTCTTCGTCTTTTTCTTTCAATTAATCGTCACGGGAATACAGGCCATAGGCATTCCTGGCTCAGGAACTTGGTAATACTTTAATTCCTAAAGATACAAATCTCTGCTTGTAACAATATATTAACATTATAATTATTTTACAATTGCAGTGGTATTATACTTGCTATCACGATGTTTGACAAAACAGCTAAAGGAATATTCGTTGGTTTTCTACTGCTCCTTATTGCTCTCTGTTTCGTCCTGGCTGCGTGTGGAGACCTGCTATTATTGACCAAGGTATAGAGTCGAATTTATTCAGCTTTGAAAAAGAATTTTTATGAATGAAGACATAGGAGAAAAATAAAATAAGAGAGGAATTAAATTTAAATAGAGATGGTTTCCACTTTCTATTTTCTAACTTAAGAAAGCGAAAAATTCACAATATTTTAGTTAGTTTAATTTTATTAATATCTTTTAAATGTTTACGACTTAGAATATATAATAGAAAATTGATTGAATATCAAACAGTTCTATCACAAAAAATCAGAAATAAAACTTATCTTTTTTTTTGCCTGCGATCTTCAAATATAAAAGAAGGAAGTATGTTTTCCAGATTCATAAAATATATCGCTCATCGGATGCAAGCGTTTCGAAAGCGCAACAAGAGTTCGCCACGACTTTTTTGCGAAATGAACACGTGCAAAGTGCAGCAAGTAACGTTGCTGCAACTGCTGTCCGTGCCCAAATGGCTAATGCTGCTAATCAACCACGCTATTAAGGTGATATCGCAACACTCGAGGACTAATTTTTCAGGTACTCTTGACATTTTACCGCTCAGTAAATCGTCTCTATAGATCGTCTTAGTTTCAATGCATCTAATATGCATTACGAGATTTGCAATGTTCCATAGAAAATTCTATTCTTGCATCGAAAACAGAAAAGAAATACTATTCGTGCGTAAAATAATTCTTTTTTTTTTCTTGATGCGTTGAAAATTTCATTCTTACATATTTTCTTCGAGGGAAAATCGATTCGTATCGTTTGTCGATGAATTAATTTTTTACAAGTGTTTAACGATTCATGTACTTCTTTCTCTCACGTAACAGTATTTTAAATCAGATTAACACACTACGTGTGGCTACGTCTGTGTATTATCTAACATATGACATGTGTACATCATCTTTTCGTTCGTACAAGATTAAAAGTGAGTCATAAAATAATTTATCATCTACTAGAGAAATGAGCTAATAATAATCATATCACTAATTCTTATATTATTGCTTCTATGTATTAAATCGATATATTTGCTAGCTTTTGTATTTTAGTGGCACCTTAATCATAATGTCATAATCATACGCGGCTTCATACAAAACTAAAAACGTTCGGTTTTGTTAAAAATCAAAATAATTTAATTTAAACAGGAAAATGCGTTGTATATCCATGATTGTAGCAGTTAATTTCTTATTTGTTTTATGAAACATTAATTTAAACATACAATGTTACGGAATAATTGAACATCTTTTTGTCTACCTTGATAACATCTTATACATTCCTTGAAATGTGTAATATATGGCCTTTCTCTTTAATTAAGCACTTGTTACTTAGATTTTTAAAATATTCTATCACTTTGTAAAGTTTAAACTATATACATATAAATATTATATATATATATATATGTAAGGAATATTTTGAAAAGAGAAAGCAAAGCAAATTTACTTTTACACATGTTTAATTATTTATTAATTGTCGATAAATTATTTATAGAGTACGAAAATTTGGTTATATCACTGTTATTACTTTATTGGATTTAATTTAAACGTCTCAATGGATTTTACGTCAAATAAAAAAGAAGAAAAGGAAAATGTTTGGAAATATAGGAAAAAAGTTGATGAATCTTTGTTATTTATTGAGAGTTTAATCAAATAGAGATATCACGTCCCTTATCAATATATTTTTTACGTGACAACGCGATTTAAATTGATTGCAACGATTATCACACATCTTTATTGTATAGCAATCAATAATGAAATACTTTGTTTTGTATGAGAATAAAAAACGAAAAATAAGAAGGAAATGTTGTTTAAATTTTATAAATACGCGCTGATACATTTGTACTTATGTAAGCAGCAGAAAGGTTGAGAGAGAGAGAGAGAGAGAGAGAGAGAGAGAAATGAAAAGTGACAAATAAAAATTTAGTTTATTCATAAAAAAAAAAAAAAAAAAAAAAAAAAATAGAAGAGATCTCTTTTACTCCAACGATTAGCACAAAGAACTTCTCCATATAATACTTACAATAAATATTCCAAACTCTCTAAACCAATAGTGCTCAACAATTTTTTACCTAGAATTTCAGAATTATGATTCATCGATCTCGATCCACGATTAGATAAGCTTATCTTTCACTTTGACAAATAGAATATGACAAAAAGAACAAATGTAAAACCTTCAGATCGATAGGTGGCCATCGGATCGGTTGGAAACGGACAACCAAGATTCGTCTCGAACGTAGATCCCGTTCCAACTAATTTCGCCACGAATATAGCGTCTATCATTTCTATATTTGATCTGTACATTATTCTAGCGTGTCCTTCGGCTAGCCTGAAGAAGAATTGTTAACGCTAAATGTTTAAAGAAAACGCTTTGAATGTCTTGTCTCTTGTTACCTAATAAGACTGTCCAAAAGCCGAACCGTTGTTCTTTCTTCCCTTCTATCTGGATGAGACCTGTGATAAAGATACGTCGCTCGAAGTACCATTTCCGCTTCCTTCGTTAGTTTCGGCTGCAAGGAATGCACATGAGCCAAGTATTCTCGTAAAATATCCTCTTTCCATAAGTTTTCGCTTCTTAAAAGTTCTATGTGACTTTTCGAGTCTCTGTGAAATCGACGATCGTTTGAATTAAGAATTTAGAATAATTTAATTTAACAAGAATCGTTTGCAGAGATTTTACGTTTGAACAATGTTCTCTTTCTTTTCGTAAGCAGCCCTCAGAATGTGATCGGATGTCAGCTTGTCCCACTCTGGATTTCTATTGTCTTTCAAAAGCAGGATTATATCGAAACGAGATAAAAGTGGATCTCCTAGATTCGTTTGCCATTCCTCGTCCTCGGTAAATTGGCCACCAGTTGGATTAATCGCCGCGATCACCGAGCATCTGGAGTTTAACGTGCTAACTAACCCAGCTTTGGCGATTGATATCGTTTGCTGTTCCATAGCCTCGTGAACGGATGTTCTGTCCTGCGAGCTCATGGTTGTGAACTCGTCCACGCAGCAGACTCCTCCATCGGCTAACACTAGAGCTCCAGCTTCTAAATGCCAACCTTCTGAATCCTATAATATGTGCATATGTAAAAAGAAAACTAGATGGATATATTAATTAATGAAAGACAGAAGATATATGCTGTACGTCAACTAACTCTGACTGCAGTTGCTGTGAGACCAGCTGCAGTCGATCCAACGCCGGTTGTAAGAACAGATCTTACAGCCAAACGAGAAGCCGCACGAAGCAATTGGGATTTGCCAGTTCCAGGATCACCGACCAACAGAAGATGAGGTTCTCCTCGTACACGTGTCCCTTTTTTTTTTTTTTTTTTTTTTTGATCGGCCACACCGTCGCGTCTGACGGTTGCGTTCCTCTTCTACTCGGTGCTCGATGGACTCGAGCGTGTCTCGCAACTCTGTCGTCTGCCTTTTTCCTGCTCTGCTCGCGGGAAGATAGGAATTATTGAATCGTGGGTGGTGGGAATATAGAGGGCCTGGCTGAATTATTAATCGGACAGCGGAATTAGGACGTCGGTTAATTTTGGAGACGTTGGATAGGACGTTAGAAAATATTACGGACGGAAGGGTGGACATAGAGCGAAGGGGTTGTGAAATAGGTCGGCGATTGAAGTTTACAAGTTTCGATCCTACGTGTGGAATGTTGCCCGGAGCTGCCGGCGACGCCAATTCGGAATCGGTTCTCTCTTTCTGGCGTATCGTTTGAACAATAGAACAGACAGCTACGATTCATTTCGAATTTATATTCTGAGAGCTTCGAAGTTTCAAACAATTGACTCGTTGCTGCCGTACCTGTCTGACGTTATTGTCGGAAAGCGGCTCCTCTCCTTCGCGGAATTGAATTATGAATGTAAGAATAGCTCCTGTCTGTTTGAGAGTGTTTGAACTAGTTTTGAACAATTAATAATAACTTAGTTAGTCGGGGAAAAAACGAGAATGGAACGTCGGTTAACTTTGGCAGTTGAATAAAATTAAAAAAGGAAGAATCGCTCAAGGAATGAGAAAGACATTTTTGTGAAAGAGTTTTCCGTTTTCCTTTTTCAATTATTCACTACATTTCAGTGTGTGCGTTCAAGATTTTAGTTAGAGATAGAACGTCTCGTTGTAAATCATCGCGAGCCATAAACATCCCATTTGTCTGTAAATTAAAAGAAAGAGAAAAAAGAAACTCAAGGGTAATATCCCATAAACGGAGAAAAGAGAAGAAAGAGGAACGTTAGAGAACGGGTGGCAGAAGAAACGGGATAAGGATAAATTGTCCGAGGAAGATAAAACGAAGGAGACGGCGGGAAAGGAAATGAGTCGTCAAACATACATAATACTATTTTATCTTCCATTTTACTGCCGTTTTACATTTGATTTTTTTCGCTTAACTTCAACTTATAACCTCAACTATTTATACCAGCCATTCAAGTACTTTTCTTCTTGACGAATTATTATTATTATTACTTTATTATTACAATTATTATTAATCATCATTATTTGAACTTATCCGAATCCCTTATTAAATATACTTTCCATTATTTTAATGTTACATTATTTTTGCCTAGTACACATATATACACAGTGTCAACACGCACACCTGACGTAACTTTCAAATTATGCTGTCTAATGAGAAATTGTTCGCAAAAGCTGTATGATTTTAAGGGAGGCAAAATATGGCGTGTCAATTTTTTGCGAGTTTCGAAAAATTTCCAACGTCGTCTTTTGTTTTCTTCATGATAAACCGGAAGAATATTAAATTCCAAGTAAAAAAAAGTATCAAGCCACATTTGTCTAAATCTAATTATATATTAGATCTGCGTATCTTAAAATTCCCTTTGTAAATACACGAACATCCGTCCATGAATAAGTTCAATCGCCATCCCCGAATTTATTTTTCGTTATCGTTTGTAAAGCAATTTATTCCATTCGTATTCTGCGAACGATATCCTAGCTAGATCGTTCTGCTCGGCCTGATGAAAAACATCAGGTATAATTAAAAGTCGTACGTTCGCGTCCGAGAGCGTCGCAGCGCTCTTAAGAACCGACGCGTTTAAAGAGTCGACGCTTCCGTTCACACGTGCGTAACGAAAGCTTGCGCGGGTTGCGCGCAATGACGCCTTGACGGAGCAAAATAAAGAGAAGCCCGAGGTGGCTTGACTCGCGAGACAAGATTTAGGACCGTCTGAGTATTCGTGTCTGAATCTCCTTGCACGTCGTCGTCGTCGTCTTCCACTCGTCCTGCACGCCTGCCCGCGAGATTCTGCTCAGGGGGAAGGAAATCCGCGCTCCTCGAGTCGACGCCCGTGAAATCCGAAGAAACGTTGTGTGGCAGAAATGAATTCGATTTTACAATTTTCTCGACTCGCGAATGCTTTCAAAGAGATATTCCACATTAACTGTTTAACGTTAGAATTATTGAATTTCTGTCGGAATGATTTCACATGTTTGTTTTTGTAATCAGGCTGCAGATATTCAAATGTTTCTCAGCGAAAATGAACGTTTTTTGATCGTATTTGTCGAGAGAATTCTGTGAAAATTAATTCTTGGAAGTTCAATTCTGTGCGACACAATTTTTGAAAGTGAATCATATCTTTCAACTCAGTTCGCTTATTATAGCGTAGTAATAATTTAAAGATTGATTATTTGTCATTGAAAATTTCCTAGCCAAACCTCAACATCGTTTCAAAGTATCGGAGATAAAATTAAGCGCAAAATTGAACGAATTTAATTCAATCAAATGTTTGAGGAAACGAATGTGATAATCGAGGAAGTGAATATTCGGTGTGTGCGGCTACCGAAACGAAATTAGAAACTGAAAGATGAATTTATATTTCCAGAATATTTCAGCGAGCGTTTGGTTTTTCGCGGGAAGTTCGTCTTAATTATGGCCTGACAGCGCGGGCCGTTCCTTCGGTTTTATTTACAGCGCTTTCATCTTGCTTTACAACCCGTTAAGTGCCATTTCGTCAAGCTCTGTATCCGTCTGCAGATCCGGTCGATACTCGCTTCCGCTTACCCGTCATCTCGAACAACTTTTGTCAATATGCTTTTCCTCGCACAATGAATTCCTCCTGACAGCAGCACTTGATACAGCAACACGTTCCATGTGTTTAAATATATTTAAAGACCATTAATACTTCTGAGAATGAACGTATAATATATATTCCAACGGTGAACAACGTTGTTTCTAATTCCGCCGCGATTTCCGATTCGTTATATTTCTCTATTGTACAAAGAAGTTATTGCTCAAACGAAAATGGATATTTGAGACACGAAAACTGATGGCATGAATGAAGTGAAACGAAGAGATAAAACATTTACATTATCGGAAAATTTTTAATTGCGTTTAGATATTGATCGACGAGCAACGATAAAAAACTGTTCGCATAATTTCGGAGCCCTTTGAAAGGTCGTTGTCGTGTGCAACGAGCACGATGATACATTGGCCTTGCGCCTTCGCATAACGACCAACCGTTTAACTTTAGATTCTGTAAGGCTCAATTAGACTCGCGTCGCGCTAACGAGTACCGAAATAGCATCACTATTAGCGTGATGTACCGATTAGCTCGGCAGGGGAACGCCTACAAACAGAGAAACCACGAGAATGGGTGTAACCTGTCGCTGGGTTCTTCGCGACGAACGGTAAATTACACGCGAGTGAGTAATTGCATCCTTTCGTCATCTCTCTCTCTCTCTCTCTCTCTATCTCTCTCTCTTTCATTTCGTCATAATTTTGCATTTGTAAATTTACAACAGTGCATTTCCCTTTATCCTCTCTATTCGTCTCAATGATAGATTTTACAGTCGTTGGTTAAAGGTGTTAAAGAAAATCTATCGTTGAAACGGTAACGATGTTTCAATAGCTGAGGAGAGAAAAATGAGAGAACGACGAATCCGACGGTTCCTTGGCAAATGAACTTGGAAAATGGTAGCCCAGTCTCTTACTCATCGAATTAACGTTCATCAAAATTCGCTGCTATTTTGGGTGGTCCGTCTCGCGTGTGCATAATCGGCGCGTTATTAGACGCGACCGGTCACGTGGGTGTATTTACGTCATAACGAGCATGCATAGCGATCAGCGTTAACGAGCCCAGCTCGCTTTCAACACCGTGAGCGTTACCATAAGCCCATCAACCCGCGCGTCCTTCGTATTTTTATCGTTCGCCGGGCGAATGCCGCCGATGAACGTGTCTCCCATTATGTTGCTCGCTCGCGTGCCACCCCCGCACTAGGCTCTTCCTTAACGAGCGCGGTTATCCGATCTTAGCGCGAGCCAATCCACTCGCGGGATAACGATGTGTACACTTCATCGTGTCAATCCTCTCAGCGTCGTTCAGATCTGTACTCGCCTCAACGCGAGAATCAATCTCCTCGTGTGAGTTAGTGTCGTCGGTGTAAGTTGGTCTACGAGTCTTCCCTCTCTGGCTCTCTCATCCTTTGACGAGGATCGATCGACAGCTCGATGTTGCGAACGTATCCCCGCGGGGGATACGTAGGTAGATTATTTGGTAACAATTTGAACAAAGAATCGAAGGCTATCGTTAAGTGAAATTTCAAACGGTGGCTCCTCAATTTCCTCAAAGTTTACGAAACGGAGCGGGGATGCTCTCCGCTTGACAGAATTAATTATTTCGGCGCCTTCCACCAGAGATCGTGGGTGTTCGTTGCTGTAAATTTCTCATAAACAATTCCATCCGTACGCGAATATCCGTAATCGCTCTCGCGGAATTAAAAGAGAAAAAAGAGAGAGAGAGAGAGAGAGAGAGAAAGAACGAAGCCACCCCTGGTGAAAAGAGGGCCGACAAAAGGAACGAAAAGAACGAGGGAACGAGTGAGTGAAATACACGGGCAGTGCGTCGCAGGGAGCAATTAACCAGGGGAATCGATGGCAGAGTATCCGGCGGACGTACGGGCGAAATTCATCCTTGGTCCAAGCTGGATCACGCCGGCGGATCGCGGACCACCAAAGGACAAAAGCGGTCACGGCATCAAGATGGCGGTTCGCGGATCGGTAGGCGCGTCCGTGAACGCTGTTGGTTCGAGGAACGACCAATCGGAGCCACGGTTAAACCAAGTTCGTGCGGTTACGCGACCATGCCAGGCAGCCACGCCGCGGCGAGTCGGCGCGTCCGGGACGTGGCCCAGCGATTGAAATGCGTCTCGACGCTGGCCGCCAGTTGCCCGTCGACTAGTGCCACGTACGGTCTTCTCCACGTGCTTTTTTTGGTTTCTCTCTTTCTCTCTCTCTTTCTCTCGCTCTCTCGCTCTCTTTTTCTCTCTTGGTCTCTTCACGCCGCTGGCTCTTAGCGTTCGAGTGCTCGGCAACGAAAGGGTAAAAAGGGGACCGAGTCGCGGCTCGGACTCTCGTGGTTGCAAGTGCAGTTTCTTTGTTCGGTGAACAGGAGGTTTCGATTGTGACAGATTCTTGGAGACGTTCCGGAAACTGAAAAGGAGGATGGATCATGTATCGCTGGATTGGATTTGAGGAAGGATTCTTTGGATATTACTTGAGACAGACACGGCTGAAACAAATTGCTACGATGAATCTGAAGGCTGGCGATCTGTCGGTTACCGTTCTGAAAGCGGCGAAGTGAGCATTTGATCTGACGAAATTTAAGTTTTCGTGTCTTTTCAAACGTTGGAGTATTCTTCCGAAGGACGTCAAATTTAACTCGAGGACGTTAAATTCCTATAGAAGACTGTAAATAATGTGTGCAAGTGACGTTTAAACCTTCAAAACTAGAAAAAGATTCTGCACGTAAGACTTGACACTGTTCCGCAGTGTACTTGTAACTCTCGCTCTATGTTCAGTGTACCAGAAAAAAGTGCATATTTACACCAATCACAAAAACAGTTTTTTGCAATAAAAATTACCATTATACAAAGGAATACGTTAGAAATAAGCTTTCGCAGTAACGAGCACACATTGATGATGGACTCGTCGATGCACGTAAACGTCTTAGTATATGTACGATTATAAATATAACCGGTACCCTTTATTATTCATATAATCGCAAACTGAATGCAATTTGTGCACCGAGACTTTTCTTTAGGATCCATAAATTTACTTTTAATGTGGTAATAAATATTCACACCGAGTTTTATAATCGACTGGAACATCCGCGGCGTGATTCAACGCTGTTAGACGTAAGTCGACAAGTGCGCCATTTAATGACAAAATATTCACATGTCACATCCAGAGAGGGGTGATGTAAAGGAAAACCAAACGAAAAGTGAAATATCGAAGGATCGTGCGCAAGGGAGAATATAAAATCTCGGAAATTATGGGACGATAGGTCGTTGTTGACGCCGTAAGCGTTTGAAACTCTGGAAAAAACGAAAATGGACCCCAACGTAGAGGAAACGGAACTGGACGTCGGATCGGCGAGCGACGAGCTCGAATCCCCGATCGGCGAGTCGAAGTTACCGCGGCGACCCACGCCGAAGCCGTTCACCATCGAGAGTTTGATCGGCAATTGCGGCACGCAGAAGGGAAGCTGCGATCCAGCAACGCCGACGGAAAAAGCGAACGAGAACGAAGAGGATTCCGATCGAGACAGGGAATATCTTTATCAGAGACACTATTTGGCAACCGCGGCTGCCAGCGCGCTACCTCCTGGTTGGTTTGTGTTTAACACCGCATGCAAAGCTTTTTTCTCTCTCTCTCTCTTTTTTGTCGTGATCGTTTGGAAAATTTTATGCTACGATCTGTGAGATCTTTCCCTCCTTCTTTGTTTTTTTTTTTTTTTTTTTTTTGTTGAATGTGATTATATTTTGTGTTAAAAAAGTGATAAAAAAAAAAAGGGTGATGAATAATTACCGCTTTCGTTACATTTTGACACACCACCAGCTAGAACGACAGCTAACGCCAGTTTTGCAGTATACATGCCGTAGAGCTTAAAATAAGTTTTCGCATAAATGACGCTATACATATAATTTTTTGTTAATTTATATTGTAAATGAGTGGATACCAGTGGGCAAATAGATGCAAAAATATTGTCTCTACCAAGCAAAGGATTATCGCTATATTTTTCCCAATAATCCTTGAAAACGTCCTTCGTCTCTTGCGAAGACGAGGTATCACATATTTTTCGTCGTACTGCGATGCTATTTGCTAGCATTATCGTCGTTGCTTCTAAACGTTCACCAACCTCTAAGGAACTCCAAATTCTTACTACAACGCCACTACAAGTGTATGGAACAATTTAAATGAGACAAATTTTATTTATGAAAAGTACAGACGATAATTAATTTATTCACCTAATCTCAACATGATCTCCTGGTCTACATTTATCAACTAAATCATTTAGTAACGTAACTCTCAATTCCTCTGTCAAAATCACATTTGAATCTGTCTTACTCTTTTCCTAATCGAGGAAACTGATAATTAATGACATGAATACAAGTGATACAAGATAATTATGAAAATTAAAGGGATAATGTACTTGCAACCCTATTTCCTGGCAATCTGAAGAATCCTCTAGATCAAAACCAGATACAGGCTTCAATTTTGATGCATGACACTCTTCGCAGTTTGTAATGTCTGCAAAAGCCTGTCTCTCCCATTCATACTAAAAGCAGATAGTATTTAAAATACTAACTAATAAAAGTCATAAGTTGTACATAATATATGCAACTGACATTAGCAAAAGTAACATGTTTGCACTCTGTACAAATAAGTCTCTGAACAGTTTTTAATATTGTTGGTTGCGAGATCCTAACAATGATGCCACTTGTTGAGACTAATTGGCCAATTTGTCCCTGATTCTGCGTAACTGGCACAGCAGTGACTCTAATTCGAACCTGTCCAAATATATTTTTTAAAATACCAAAATAGAAATACTAAAATAAAACAGATTTCGCGTTAGTATTACTTTTGTCTTAACAATTTGCTCCGGTTTTGCTATTTCTTCTTGCGCCTCCACTGCTGATTTGTCGCAATGTGGTAAATAATATCTCGGATATTGTAAAATTTTCTGTGCTATATCTGCATCATCCTCAAATAGTGACACAAAACTGCAAGGAAAGTATTCTTCGTATTATACGAAGAATAAGTGAAAGTGTAAAAAACTTACTTTACGTAGATCGAGTAGTAACAAGTAGAATCTATGTTGTCTAAAATTTCTTGAAGTTCCTCTTGATGATTTTTTAATAGAAATTCTTTCAACATTTTAAACGTTCACGTAAACAAACGTAGAAATTAAGGTTAGAAACACTCGTGTCGCACAAGTTACTCATTTCCCGCCAAAATTGCCACGTGTATTCATTGAACACGTGCTTTCATTCAATTTCTAATATATCTTGCTTCAGTTATTATTATTATTACGCAGTCGCAGTCTCTAATTGAAAAATATGTTCGATTGAATTACAACTTAGAGTATTTCGTGAAAAAGTGGTACAAGTTATCCAATTCCATTTTAATATTTCGAAGTATGCAAAATTTTCTGTTAAATTTGAACTTTATAATTTTTCTAAATTAAAAATTTGATTATTTATAGCATATTCTTTTCCAGCAATAAAAAATACAAACAATATACAGGGGTCTGTGATGTACATAGAATTTGTGCCATCGTACCAAGTCCCTCGTACCATCTCTCTCTGGACTTTTCAATTTAAAACAATATTAAAAATTAATTAGAACAATAAATTACATTTAAAAATAAATTTTTCTCTAAATATTAAATACAAACGGTATTCATTCTGTCCCGTGGTATGTGATATATAAAATACATGAGATTTGAATTCGTTAATATTCTCCAAAGGGACGGAAATATTTTACGAAGGCCAATAGTAGCCGCGATTTAAATTTTATGTTCGCTGAAATTCCTTCGTCCTTCACGCCGATTTAATAAAAGAGTCATATCAATTACTTGTCGTGAAACCGCATTGGCAGTTCACCCATTAATCGATTTTCGCGTCTTCCTATCCATCTCGTAATTCTGTTCCGGTGGTTTCGTGCGAAACCCTGCGGTAAAACTTGTCCCACAACAGTGAAAACCTTTTCGGTGTCTACCTTTCATCGGGAAACCCTCGACGTTCCATTAATCGCGCGTTTAAAACAGAAGTGTAACCTTGTAAATAAAATGTGTCCCCATGAAAGCGAAAAAATGTAAGTACTTTCTTTTCTCCGCTATTCGTATTGAAATAGAATGTACACACTCTTTTTATTCCTTTCTCTTTCCGTGCAAAACAAGTTTCAACCCTCGAAATGCGAGAAACTTGCATTTCCAAGGTATTTTATTTATTTTATTTAACTTTAACGTCCTAACTGACATCACTGGACATTGAAAATCATAAAAATTTAGATATTTTGGAATGTTTAATTTGATTTGAAGCGATCCAAAATAACCAATTTGTAATTTTCTAGCTTTGTAACGATGCATTTTTAGAAGGCTGAATAATTTTCATTAAATATTCAGCTGAAAGCTTGTGCTCTCTCTATCGTATTAAAAACTTTTCCCTATTTCATGCAATTTACAAGCTTTACACTTTAGTTGTTGGTAGTTCTAGTGTTAAAAAGTATTTCGAATAATTTTAATCATGAAAGTTCTATCGCCTATATTACGCGAGCCGTTTTATCTGCAACGGAAGTCGTTCGTTCATATTTCAAACGATAGAACGCGAGTTAAACACATGATGCCTGCGTATCGGTGTTACGATATCATTAGTAACGATTCCCTTTACGAGCTCTTCCCAAGTTATAAATTACTCGTTGGATTCGCAGTTGCCAAGGGAAAGGAATCGATGTAATTAGCGTGGCCGTATGCGTAGCAAATACACGTTCCTACGTATAATTGCTCGGTGTACGATCAAAACTTGCCTCGTCTCGAAATGGAATAACTCTCCGCAAACCTACAGAACCAACCCCCTAACTTGCATTTGTCTTGAGAGCTCGTGTACCATCTTTATGAATCTTTCTAATTTATCGTTCTCATGCCTGAATTTTCACCTTTGTTCAGTTGTTATAAATCTACTGTTCGGTGGATGAAGACATCGAACGAAATAATATAATTTGAAGAATATTTCTCGGAATTTTTGTTGCTCGACCATTGAAAATAATCCCAAATAATGAAAAATTATATATTTTATATACATAGTACAATGTAGAAAAATTTTATTATCATCCAGAAAATAACTCAAGTTTCTTTTATCTAATTTCATATAAATATTTCTTTTAATCATTAATCCTTTAACCAGAGATGAAAATTTAGCTCGTCATTAGGAAATCTTGAAAATTCCATTGATGCAGAAGTATTTTTCAGTGACGAGTTAATTCGTCGTCCCCTGTTAAACTACGTTTAGGATAACGCATAGTTAGGAGATGATATTCCAAAAATATGTTAGCATGTTAAGGCTGACGATGACAAAATACATTATATTTTTGTTTTAGAGAGACTTCATGCAAATTGTAATTCCCAATGTTGCTGATTAAAGGGTTGTCATTCATGTTTGAGCGTGTTACATACTAGTTTTCTTATGTACGTGTGGATGTTAGAGGTGTCAAGTTCTTGGTGGAGTTTCAGGATAGGATATTCTCCGGGAGCGTCGAGGATTATTCGAAGTGGTTTTGTACTATTTAAACTTTGATCAAGTAAGATTTGGACCTTGGTTTTTGTGAAAAATTCATTTAGTTGCATTCTATGCAACTAAATATAACACACACACACATATATATATATATATTTCAATATCAAAGATCTAAACTGACCATGCACTTTTTTCCATTTTAATTTCGAAATTCGTAAGTAATATTCCCAAATTTCCGTTTTTATATATTTCTTGACAAACTAGACTTTGTATTTTTTTTTGGTGTTGTTGGAATAGCGAATTTTTCCGGCGAAAACGTCGCGGAACGTAAAATTTCCCTTGTCAATAGTTCGGACAAGTGTAAATTGTTGACGACGGGATCGTGTGTGTACACCGCATTTCCTGCGGGCGCGATTCTATGTAAGTTGTCACCGGCAGGCAGTCGTGGAAGGTTTCCAGGTAAAATTACTGCGACTTGTGTGCATGGTAGTCGCGACAGAAACGTGTTACTGCAACTCCTATATTTATTTTAATTTTTCCATAAATAAAAATCACGATGCGAAAGATATCTCATTTATGAGTATCTATTAAGACAATTATTGATCTCGTACAAAATGTAATGATTGATTCGGATTAATCAGAAATTCTGAATTCAACAAAGTTCATGAAAAATTCATACAAAAATAATTTACACAATAAGATTCATACAAGAGTTTACGATGGATAAGTAGATCTATATAACTGAAATTAAATTAATATGATATCAAATTTAGTTTTGTTAGAGCGTTTCATCACTAATCATTAGTTTCATCACTCGCGATACTTTTATAGAATCTTTACAATTTAAACTTTCGAAAATCAAATATCTCTCACAAGTTACTTAATACGTATATGATACAGTAACAGAATGCGCAATTCGAATTGGAATTGAAGTATATGCTAAAAAGGAGTGTTTCAAAGCGAAGAACAGTTTTGTACATTGACACGCAATATTTACGATTTTATAGCGTGTAGTAATTACACCACAACGACGAGCAGCAGCACGCTTTATGGAATTTCTGTCGCTCCTTTAGCAAGTACGTTTCACTATTTAAATGCAATGAACGTGCGCGAAATGAGCTGCTAATAATTCAGAAACCTCTTAAATTCGAACCACCCGGAACATGTGAATTCACAATCGCGTGTATAACTTTGGAAATAAGCGGTACAGTTCGTACGTATGTATGTCGCCGGAAATAATTCAAAAAGTGTGCACGCTTCTCGCGAAGCTTGTTCTTTAACCAGCGGAATTTCATTTGATTTATTTGAGAGAGCCGTACCGTTTCACAGACGATTTCGTTAAATCCGAGAGACCTGTAAATCGTCATTGCCGAGGCGTCATTTTCGAAGATACTCAAACAATCACTAACGCGTGAATTAATCACATTTCTCTGACCGACAGAAGTCGACTCGAATACCTCAAATCGTTCGTAATCATTGGATTACGGATTTCTATCGATTTATGGAAAATCGATAGATGAGAAAATGCACAGAATGCACATGATTCGTAAAAATTTATGAATATTTAAAATAGGATTTCTTATTTGTTGAGTAAAGTAGAATAAACCAGAATAGAGTATTTATAGTGCATTCATTATTTGTAGATTATTTACAATAGTATTTACATAATATTAATTACAGATTCATTGTGGCGTACAATAGATGAAACAAATCTCTATTCACGTAATTTTTTTCTCAACTCTTCGATCCGCTGCTTCATCCCCCAGTTTCTTCCACTAATTTCACAAGCACGCCGCAGAGAGGTAAAAAGTGTTTCACGGGAAGAGCGGAAGAGTAGTAGGCAAGAAAGGTGATCGTCCAAAAGGGAACATCGGAGAAAAAGAGCTGGCGATGAAGGGAAACTGCGGGAGCGGGGGGATTAGTGGCATCTTGTCCAGCAAGGATTCCACGTCGTACGGAGGTCCTCCTATGGTTTAATAATACATCTCCGGATCGTTAATCACCCTGGTGAAATATAATTTAATACCTGAGCGAGCGAGGGCCGACCACTAAAAATGACGAACGACCAGGAAACACGCGGCTAACTCGCCAGCCAGCCCCTTCAGCGCGCTGGCTATAATCACCACCTAGTGCTATAGTGGACGTGCAATAACGATAAAGGGTTTGGGGGAGGGGGGGGGGGGAGGGGCCGTATTCCTGAACGAGTCTTTTGGTGTGACCGCTCGTGAAAGGGGTATACTGGTCCCTGTGCATTACATTCGTCCACTGCGCCTGTACTCAATAGCCCCAATTCGCAGTGAATTCCTTCACGTATAAAGGCTACCCCTCCCCCCTCCTCACCTCTCCTCTTTTTTTGATCCTCTTCTCTTTCTCCTTCTCTCTTTCATCGTCGGTTTCTCGCTACCGTGGCTTTCGACCCCCAGGTGAAATGCACGAACACGATGTCGAACACAGTATCGATTGCGTTGATCTAGCCATCTAGTCGGATCGTCGAAAGTCACTCGTTCGAAAGATCGTTCTCTCTTTCTCTCTCTCTCTCTTTCTCTTTTTTATTATCGGACGATCGGTATTGACGAGGCCGTTCGTTCATTCTGTTCCTGTTTCTTTCGTGCCGTTTCGTGCCCGCTCTCTTGTCTAGCCGGAGTGACGGCCAACGAAATCGGGTTAATGACCACGACAATGACCACGATTTTGTCCAATGAAAGCGTTTCACGGACGATCTTCCTTCCGGCGGTGAGGCGCGCGGGCTTTTTATCGACACCGGCTCGCCGAACTGGCGAACCGGCAAT